CATGGAAAAGACAGAAAACGAATAACGATTAAGGAAATAACGAAGATGGGGGTTTTTAAAAAAAACAAAACAAAACTAAAGCAGAACATTCACAATGGGGAAAAAATAAAATAAAATAAAAAAGAAAGAAAATTAATTTTTTTTTAAAATTAAAAGCCATCCATTAGCTGTAGTATTTGAGCTTTTTTGCTCTCTTAGCAGCTTTTAGCCACTGTTCAGCTTTCTACTATTGCTTAACTTTAAACTGTATGTTTTACACCAGTGTAATTGGCCTGACATCTTGATACTACTTGCAATGTTTCTCACATTTTGGCTAAAATGTGAGAAAATCTAAAAAATCTAAAAAAAATCTCTACTTGCAATGTTTCTCACATTTTGGCAATCTAATTGTTTTTTTTTTTGTTTGTTTTTTTTTTTTTTTGTTTTTCTAACTATTGTGCCTTCTTTCAGGTAACAGACTTCTCTCACTGCTTTGTGTTTCTAATATAGTAGCATTTACAAAACGTCACACGTCCTACTGCAATAACGCACTGAACTCTCGTGAACAGAGAAAGACGCAGCTTTTTGAGCGCTGTTTTGGGTGGCTCTGACTCTAACGTTTGTTTTTCAGCCTCGTACTTTCTAGACGTGATAGCAGAGTGCGGTGTCTCCTGTGAAAACAATCAGCTCTGTGCTCCAGAGCAGCCACGGGAGCAGAAAGAAACAGGGCAGTGGTGTGAAATTTTGGTAAAGCTGGAAAAAAGCTGGGACTTGTGGGAACACGCAGCCTGGGTGTCGACCTACCTCAGAGTGTGGGTGGGCATCCCATTTCCTGCTGGCGCTCTCATTTTAATTTGTTTTCTGTTTGTTTCTTGTTTGTTACCCACTCAATGAGTGCACTGAATATGCTGTGTGTGTGTGTGTGTGTGTGTGTGTGTTGTTTGTGTAGGCAGGGATTAGGCGTGTGTGAGGGTGGAGATACAGAAAAAAAAGAATGAGGTATGGAGCTGAAACTCCTTCTCCTTCTGCTTTCTCTCAGTATTTGATTTGATCCCCGTCTGCTTGGAGGCTGATCCATGGGAACGGCATCAGAAGGTCATATCAGCCGAATCACACACACACACACATTCTATATATATATTTCTGCACACACACTCACACAGCAGGCAGATGTGGATTTATGGGCTTATGGTGGGTGGACTGGAATCCTACCTGCTACCTGCTCCATGTGTGCGTCTGGAAAAAAAACCCATCAGATGTTAAAATATTCACATGAAATCATATTAATGATCATTACATTAAAAAGACCGACACGTTTATAGGCTTTTTCTAAATATACCACATGGACTTGAACAATAAAGATGCCATGAAGCAGTGCTGGGGTTAGAAGTAATCTGGGGTTGAACTCAATGCTAACGTGAGCGTGTCTCAGCTAAATGTATATTTCTAATCTGTTTGGAGTTTTAGTAAAATTGTAGCTCTTTGTTAATTTCAACAACGAATATGCTATGCTATAGCTAGCATTAGCTAAACACCAGAGGAAGAAATTCACAGTCTGCTAAGGGATAATAATCAACACAAAACTAGTTAAATGCTAGCGCGATAGACTAAGACAATACTATCTCAGCTTTCTTACAAATGTGTTTAAAATATTTGAATAATAGTGTTTGGAAACGGAAGTGTAGAAATTAAACGCCAGCTTCCTTGGCAGAATAAAAAATAAAACATTACCTCAGTTTTAAGGTCTTAGCTGTGTTTAGGCTGTTGGAACAAGTACTATGACCTTTGGATGTTCAACATTAGTCGGAGGTCACGTATACTGACCGGTTCTCAAGGTGTGTGAAGTAAATCTCACCAGATCTCTGGACACCATTTCACCATGAATAAATCATTGTTTTGTGTCGATATATGATACAATGTAAACAATATGTTATTGTGTTTTTCTCTGCGGCCTGTCACCGTATCATCCCTGGACAGGAAGTGCTGTGGAACCAGTGAGTTTGTTACCAGGAGTCAAAAACATCAATCCCTAGTCCTGGGATTTGAACATCATTCAATAATAATGACAATAAATCAATCCTCAAATACATGTCAGGGTTGTTGTGTTTAGACAGGATGACATCAGTCCATGTTGTTAATATGATACGTTGACTGTGTTTCTTCACTTCACCGCGTTAATTATTTGGCGTTAGCCGAGTTTTCCCGTCGGATTTTATGTTTCAGCAGATTCTGCACTTTTGCTTTGATATTGGTTTTACTTTCCCTCTGAATCTAATTAGTGGATCAGAAATGCATGGCGTTCCACCCTCTCCACCCACACACACACACACACACACACACACACACACTATCTACAAATACTTGTTTTCCCATCATTTGGGCTTTTGAAGGCACATAAAAAGCAGCTGCAGCAGTGAGTAGTGCTACTTTTGTTTAATTTCCTGCGCCTGCTGCTGCTGCTGCTGCTGCTGCTGCTGCTGCTGTGTAGGTGGATGGAGGCGGCGGTGCGGCGTTTTTGGGCGAGGGGGAGAGAAGTTGACAAAAGTCGCTCTGGTTTTATCCCCAGGGTGTTTATACTGGTGGCAGCTGGCCTAATTCCCTAAAATAACTCGCTGAGCGCTGTGATGCAGGATCAGTCAGAGTGAGAATAAGATCTGACTGGAGCTGCTGCTGCTGCTGCTGCTGCTGCTGCTGCTGCCGATGATGATGAGGAGGTTAATCTGCAGACAGACAGGACACCAACATTTCTGAAGCCCGTACTCCTCCCTCTCAGCCACATCTCACTCACAATGATTGAAATATTAGGCTGGAAAGTACGTGTTTTGGCTTTGGAAACATTAAAACTCTTACATTAAAATTAATTTATATTTATTTTTTTGTTGTTGTTGTTGTTAGAGAATTCACACATCCAACAGTTCAGTTACATCAGGAGACAAATAGCATATTTTATCATATTTCATCTACAGATCTCTTCATCTAAATTTAAAAGGCAGTCATCCAGTTTAAACAGCTCCTGTTGGACACCTCTGCTCTGTACTCCAGATACGTTTGTTCATTTTCATGCTAATGCTAACTCAGCTACTTCTAATATCGTGCTTTGGCTAGCGCTGAGAATACTTATCCTACATATTTTAATTCACTTAATTGACAACACCATTGGCCACTTAGAATACTTTGTTATTTGAGTAGTGATACTTATCCCACTGATTCTACTTCAAATGTTTCTGCTAGTTGACATTATAGTTGACCTGTGAGGACAGTAACACTTGTTCTACTTTGTTTGATTCCTAACTTACATTACATTTAGCTATTATTCTACTCCGATTACTTCTGTTAGTTATCATTTCATTTGGCTGCTTAGAAAACATACTCAACTTGTAGTTATACAATCACTGGAGAAACTAAGCTACATGACACTTGAATTAGCACTCTGCCATAATATTATGATTACAGTACCTCTGTATCCTAGCACCTGTTAGTGGACACCATACATTAGAACTGTTTGTCAACAAAGTCTATCCAACAGACAGTAAGGATTTGTCCTGTGAGTGAGGGGGCGCTGTGTCCAACGGTAAAACAAGTTCATCTCTGGTTTTGAGACAGTGTCTTTAACCACAGTGCATTGCTGCGACCGTAAATCTCACTGTAATAGTAGGTGTCATTGATACTTCTGCTACTATAGTTCCCTCAACTATTTATACACATTCAGTTACTGACTTCTACGGGTACAAACGCTACTGTGGACACTCAGGGTATTACAGCTACTCATTTCTAAATTCAGAAAAAAGAGCTAATTTACTTTTTTAAAAATTAGAAGCTTGACACAGATGTCACGAAGATAATTCCCAAGTATCTCAAAGGGGGAGATGAAATAAAAATCACAGCATAAAGAACAATTAAAACATAAAGTAAAGATAAATGAGAACAGGTTTATAGTGAGAATGGCGCTTGTTCTGAGGTAACGACAGCAAAGAAACACAACAGAACCTTTAAACGCTGCACTTCTGACCAGTGTCACAGTTTAGTTCACTGGAGAACAGCGTGCACACCAACACCATGTCAACACAGAGATTGGATGTATTCTGTTACAGTAACATAGGATCGGATTCATTTATTAACAGACGAGTGAACGGGTTCGATTAATATAAGGAGACGTATGATGGTGATGACAAAGAGAGCTGTGGAAAGACGCGTTGCTGTTGTGTGTCTGTGTGTCTGTGTCTGCGTCTGTGTGTGTGTGTGTGTGTGTGTCTGTGGGTGTTGAACCTGCCTGTGTTTGCTATTCCGCACTGAAAGCCTCCCACGCCCCGTGTGTCCACCCACGCACGGATTTGCGTCACGCAGGGAGCAGCGTGGGCGAGAGGGAGAGAGAGAAAGAGAGAGAGAGGGAGAGAGAGAGAGAGCGGAATATCCCACTTAATTCTGAAGTTGCGTCAACAGCGCGGTAGTGTTGTCAATTCAACCAGGAAATACTGACAAAATAAAGGTATCCGGCTGCGACTACTAAACTGGTTTGAACGAGATTGACATCGATATACCCACTAGAATATGCCACTAAAACTATGAGCTTCACATGCAGAAGGACGATTGAAAAATCGACGTTAGTTACAACGCAGCAATAATACGGCAAAAACGCCCGGCAATGTATTTAAAGAAGCAAAAAATGCAGTTGAAAATTGCTAGAAGTTAAACATTTTATTTGTTAAGATGCATAACAATCTTCGTGTATTATTCAAAGTTATAAAGTTGACAACATTAAACTTACTAATCGATGTCTTAAATTATATACCAAGCACGTACATAGAGCTTCAAAACAAAACAAATATTGTAATTGAAATGTATCGATATCAATGATACAAAACAAAATTTGGAATAACGTTCGTGTAATCTGCATAACTGTCATTTGTCTTGATGCTTTTATTTTGTAAATATTCAAGCGGAAAGCGCACACGTGTTTGCGCGTCAAAAAAGAGTGTGTTTGAGTTAGTGGTGAATGGTGAAGGGGGAGTGGAGAGACGAGACTCACACACACACACTCACTCACTCACTCACTCACTCACACACAGGCTTCACACCCGGACGCGCACGCACTCAGCGCGCACTTTGAAGGAAAAGACGCAGCAAAGACGCTCGAAGGTCAGCGAACGTCTCTGTCCTTTCTTGAAAGAAACGCGAAACAGCACAAAAAAGTTCTAAGAAGAGAAGAACCAAATCTGCAGCATCTGTCCTGGGATTAATTTACCGTACGTGTTATTTTAATTTGAAATCAGAAAACCTTTTTCAGTCTAACGCATCCTGCTCGTGGTGTCAGCTTCCTCCTTTTTTGGACCGTAAGTTTTGTACCACATTTACATCAAGTGTTTTTGTTGATAAACAGTGAGGAAGAAGGAGGAGAAGAGGAAAGAGACGAGGTCGGACCAAAGGAAGACCAGAATCTCACCAGGTAGGTGACAATATCCATGCTCTTGAATTTTAGCCAGGCTTCAAACAGTCCATGCAGGAATATTGTGAACAATCCATTCATTTGAATAGTTTTATTTTTTTTTTATTTTTAATTAAGTCTCATCTGGTCATTTCTGATACTTTATTGCAATGCAATAAATCATCAGAAAACATTGTTACAATGTTGCATTGAGTTATTTTAGTACTGTAGTGTTATATTATATTGTTCTATATTATATTTTTCTAAAATGTTAAATTTAAAACCGCTTAAGTTTTAGTAACAACAATCAAAGTACAAAACATTAAGTTACTTACAAAGGTGAAAGGGATGAAAAATTAGCTGAAAAGTTTAATTTAGCAGAACAAAAAAACTGAAGACGTTCCTGAAATATAACTATTAGCTAATTGAGCAAAAGCTAAAAGTTAGCAGAATGTAGTTTTAAAAAGATAACTATTGTACAAAAAAATAACTGGTTCTTAAATTAACTCAAGGACACAGCAAAATAATTTAAGGGATATGAAGCAGTTTGTTCCAAAAGCAGCTAAAAGTTAGCTTGACTTTGGTGCAAAATGAAAAAGAAAAGAAATACAAACATATTGAGTGAGTTTAGGCAAAAACAAACTGAAGGTAAAAGAACCAAGCTGAAGTGTGACAATACAAGGCACTCATTAGTGAAGTCTGTGACTGTATTGAAATGCACATCAAGTGTCAGTTGAGTGTGAAAAAACTATATTTAGCTGCAGCGTGAATGGAGACGAGGTGTTGATGCCGCAGGTGAATTGTTCATCACTACGGAGCCAAACTTCAGTCTGTGTCTGTAGAATTTAAATCAAGCTGGCAGCAGCTCAACATGTTTTGTCTTCTGACAGTAAATATGGAAAATTCACACCAACACACAGATTTATACTGGTTTATTTTTGTGTTTGTCACAGCTCCAGTATGGTAACAAAATTGTGGCATCAAATAGTTACCGATAACGGTTGCAAAAATGTGCTAAAGTTAACTCAAGGTAAACCTTAAAAATACCATAATGTTAGACAGAAGCAAAGCCAGACAATTATAGATGGGGATACGGTTAAATTAAAAAATTAAAATATAAAAAAAACTTCAAATATCTAGAAGTCAACTTCTGGCTAACAATTAGCAGAAAAATTAAAAAAATGAAAGAATATAAAATGGACAGACAATTGTTTAAAAAATCAATATATTTAGCAAAACAACATGTAAGATAAAAATGCTGACCTGAAGTCACCAAAATATTAGCTATAATATACCATAACATACATTTAGCCTGATTCAGCAGGTTGAACACGTTTAGTTATATTTACATGTTAGCTGTCAAATAACGAGAAGTTACGTGTTTAGTACAGTAATTAGCTAATTAGGTTAACCAGTCAGTAAGTTGACAAAGACGATGTAAATGGACAGATCTTTTGTGGCCTGCCATCGTTCTTCACCTCCATCACAGCACACAGTGTGTGTGTGTGTGTGTGTGTGTGTGTGTGTGTGTGTGTGTGGGTGTGTGTCCTGAGTGTAATTGGCTCCTGTGTGTGGGGTGATCATTAATTCAAGTCCTCTTTTACAGATCGAGTTGAACGAGTCTTGCTTTAAGGGCACCAACGACGCACACATACACACACGTTAACGTCACAATTGTGGCATAGGAAGCAGCTCGTGTTGCACTATACATGTAATGATATTTTGTTTGGAGGAAAAATCAAATAAAATCATTCAGTGACTAAAATTTAAAAGGTGAGGGTTCAAAGAGCCTCAGGAGGTGAACTCACGAGGAAGTCGACTGATTTTCTGAGCAAAATCAGTCGACTTCCTCGTGATTCAAGTGGAAATTTCCTGTTGAAGTACAGCGGTGTAATCATAGCTTAGACTGGGAAACCATGAGTTCATGCAGTGATCGACTCTCCATGCTGTAGTCTATGTGTACCAGTGGCTGCTGTTGTTGCTGTTGTCTCAACTGTAGTCTCAGTTTTGTTATAAAAAACTATGAGGAGTTGTTAAGTTGACTGTAGCTGTATGCTAACGTAAGCCCCAGACTGATGGATGTGAACATTAGTGTAAATAAACAAACAAACAAACTCAGATTTAAGGTCAAACAAAGCACTTCTCTCATATTCATTAGTTAGTTGTTTCCTGTACAGTAGTCAGTGATTTGAAATATTAAAGGGCGTAATTACTCTGCTAATTGAATGTAATACAGGGAAATATCTAGCAAGTGCGCTAAATGTTAGCCAAAAAACATAGGATAAACAGCTCCCACAGAGACAAAAATATTGCGCAATAACCCATATTTTGCCAAACGTATAGAATAAATAGCTTAAAGTTAATTAAATTATATTTAATAATTTAGATAAAGGGAGAAAGACGTGATAGAAAAGATCAGTGTGGTATTTGACCTTAAAAAAGATGTTTGAACTCCGTATTTGATAAGGAAAAATGTCACCCTTTTTCTTTTCTTTATCGTGTTTTCTGTCCAAGGACGCCATAAAAAAATAAAAAATAAATCAGAAAATGGCATCTGATAGGTCGTCTCTGAAGCAGTGTTGTGTTGTCGTTTCACAACCCCTGAGTCCAGGCCTGCCTGGCTCCCTGGGCTGAGGTTCTCTGGGCCTATTCTGGGCGAGGCGAGCCCACCACCTACACATCCTGCAGGGGTGGAGAGAGGCATGTGGTCCTCCCAGTAATCCAGGCCTGCTGACTGCCACTCCTGTGTGGGCCAAGCTTCAGCAGAGACTCTCAGGCTCATAGGAAGAGTCAGAAACAAGGCTTTGTCGATTTGGGGAAGTTTGAAGCCCAATTTGAAAGGTCTATTCCGTAAAGTCTGTTGTTTGAAATGTAGCGTATCTATCCCTGCAGCACACAGATAAACTGACGGAGGCATATGCTTCTCAAACTTTGTGGATTATACACCAGATATTCCAGTGATAGTTTACCAAGCCTCATTCTGAACAAATTAATAAGCATGGCATTGGTTTGAGCGGAGTCAGACAATGGAGACCACAGACTGTTGACCAGGCTCTGAGTTTGTCTGTGAATCATAGGGGAAGTCTGCGTTCTGGACCAGCATGAGTCAAATCATTTTTATTTAATAGGTTTTAGTATTTTTGGGATGATTTGAAACTCTTGTGGCAGAACAAAATTGCTGAATGTGATGTGATTAGTACCTGTCTAGAGCATCTGTTGTTGTTCTGTTTCCAGGCATGGCGGCGGTTCTGCCAAGGACCCTGGGTGAGCTGCAGCTCTACAGGATCCTGCAGCGAGCCAATCTCCTTTATTACTACGAGGCCTTCATCCAGCAGGGCGGCGATGACGTTCAGCAACTGTGCGAAGCCGGGGAGGAAGAGTTCCTGGAGATTATGGCCCTGGTCGGAATGGCCAGCAAACCTCTGCACGTGCGCCGCCTGCAGAAGGCGCTGCGCGACTGGGTCACCAACCCAGCTATCTTCAACCAGCCTCTGACCTCAATGCCTGTCTGCAGCATCCCTGTGTACAAGCTGCCCGAGGGCTCGCCGACGCTGCTCAGCGGCCAGGACCGAGCCAACACGGCCAGTGTCAAAACTCCCAAAGCCGTTGGGGCCACTTGCTCAGATCCAGGAAAACTGGATGTGGCTCGGGACAAAGTGTCGGCAGGGTCACCACAGCAGGGCAGCAGCGAGGCGCGGTTCTGGTCTGGCCACAGCAATGACAGCGAGCACAGCCTGTCACCGTCGGACCTGGGTTCCCCGTCGTCCCCCAGAGACACCCTGGAGGCCCTGGACACTGCTGCCGTGCAGTCGGTTCTAGAGTGTGTGGACAGGATGGCACCGGGACTCCCCAAAACAGAAGTGGCTGAGGTGAAAGAGCAACTGAAAAACAACAAAAAGCTGGCCAAGATGATTGGACACATCTTCGAAATGAGTGATGACGACCCCCGACGGGAGGAAGAGATTCGTAAATACAGCGCCATCTATGGACGTTTTGACTCCAAGAGAAGGGACGGCAAACACCTGACACTTCATGAGGTAGAAAACCAGTGATTCTTGTGTCGTTTTGTGTCGTTTGTTTTGGTGATTTCTTACTTACCTAGTCTGACTGTTTGGAATTTATATCTTTCAGCTCACTGTAAACGAGGCAGCAGCTCAGCTGTGTATGAGGGACATGGCTCTGCTGACACGTCGGGACGAGTTGTTTGGACTTGCACGTCAGATTTCCAGGGAGGTTACCTACAAGTACACCTACAGGACCAGCAAGTAAGGGCCAACCGAAAACTGTCAATACATGTAAACAGACCAGGTCATGCTGCTGTGAGGCTGAAGCTGTGAAAGCTGACCAAAAGTACTATATGACTCTATGTAAGTTTAGGCTAACAATGAACTGGTGGTGTCTCCTCTCACTAGGAAGTTTGGTTTAAAAAAGAAAATGATCGTTTCTCTTGCTTTAGATATTTTTGGCCATTTCCTCTCTCAGCATTTGCATCATTTTAAATAAAAAGAGCATAATTTAATTAACAATTGTTTTATTTCTGTTTGTTTTCTGGCATTTTAAGTGACATAATAATTGGTAAAATAATAATACTAATTGGTAGTAACGTAGTTTTACAAACTTTTGAATAATTTTCTGTTTTTTTTGTTAGAGCTAATTTCAGCAGGCTTACGTTTATCCTGAATTTGTTTCCAAAACTTTACATATACTGTCATCGTTTACTTATCTTCAGCTTTCTTCTAACTTTAATGTAGCTTACATTTGTTTTAATTACAGCAGTTATCTCTCATTTCTAACTGTACCTGAGATTAAATGTTTCCTGTCTCTCTGCAGGTCTCGATGTGGAGACAGAGATGAACCGTCTCCAAAGAGAATAAAAACAGAGGTAAAGGCAAATGAAAACTCTTGTATCACTTGGCATTTAAGTTTTATTAGTACTTAATTTCATTTTGGCAGTAAAGCACAATAATGTCCTCACATGGAGTCGCTCTTTGCTCAACATTCAGAGGTAGAATAAAGAGAGCAGCAGCAGCCGCAGGAGCCTTGAACGGCGTGAACAAAGTGATCTCTCAACAAACATCTCCTGACGCTCTCTGCTAAAGCTGCCTCTTTGAGCTGTCAATGGCTCCTCTCAGTTTGTTAACCCATGATTGAAAACATGTGGCCGCTACAAACTCTGCTGGGATTCCAGCCTGAATGAGAAGCTGCAGAAGAACCGACACCTGCTCGCTAACTCTACTCTCTCTGAGCTCCTAGAGGAGAAAGTTTCCTGTTTTTAAGGGATCTCCTCTGACTAAAAATCCCCCAAACCTCATTAGACAAACAGGAATATTTGGTCTTTATACACTTCTATAAGGTTTACTGTAGTTGTGCTTTAACCTCTCTCTTGTTGTGCAACCCCATCAGGAGAACTTCTTTGACATCCAGGAGGCGCTGCAGGCCATCCACATGAGACAGGAGATGCTAAGGGAACAGCTAGCCTGTGCCAAGTTGAAAGGAGAGGAGATGGTTGGGCGAAATCTGCAGGTGAGAGGACACTTGTTTAAAAGTCAGGACTGTACAGTTACGTTTACATCTACTAATGTTGTATAGAAAATAGCTGAATGTGAGTGAAGAAATACCAACCTAAATAAAATCAATGTTGACCTTAGACTGAGTACAAAGACAGCTGTTGTAATGATAGCACTGACTGGCTAAAATTAGCCTCTTTGTTTTGTAAAGCATTTCTTTTCCAACCACAATATGTCAAACCTTGTATATATATATATATATATATATATATATATATATATATATATATATATATATATCCTTACAATTATTATTATTAGTACTGTTTTTTTACCACATGGTTTTAGGCTACATTAGGCTAAGTTGATCCTGCTAACTTTTTTTTTTCTTCTTGAAGCTTCACTAGCATCTTAGTTAGTGTCTTTACTGCCACCTACTGAGACCATTTTTCACTGGTAGATATTAACAGAAAAACTTCTCTGAGGCGATCACTTCCAAATGATTCCACCTGCAAATCTTGCGTACAATATCTCTAATGGTCATGGGCAACTGTTGTCTTTTTTCGCAGCTGCAGTGAAAAAGTATTTCATATTAAAGCCTTACTGCCGTGTTAATGGCAACATAACAGGTGATAAACAGGTGTTTGCCTTCTCTAATGCTGAAATGTGAGTAGATGAGTGGCTGAGTTAAAAGGATCAGATTTATGGTGAAAGGAGTTCCATATCTGTGGATTTTCACTGAGCAGGAACCAGTTTGATCCCAGTTAATGGCTTTTATTGGTTTCCATGCTGCTGCTGCTGCTGTTGTTCTTTGTTCCTAATTAGAGTCAGTAGAGAGTGGGAGGAGAGCTTTATGATAAGTCATTAGCCACAAAACACACTCAGTGTTAACTGTGTGCATTTGACCCTTCATTACTGTGTTTGTGTATGTTTTCCCGTGCGTGTTGAACGTCTCGAAGATGATGTTTAGGAAAAAAATTTAAAGTGACAGTGTAGGGCAGACTGACAGGGAGGAAACAAAAAGACATCCCTGCTTTTATTTCCCATGTAGTTTGGCTGAGAATGAAATGAATCAACTGTTTGTCAGTCTTTGCCTCTCATTCATCCTTTATGTTCAGGCTCAGTGAGTCAGTCAGATGGATGACGTTGGTCTGTTACTGTGTTCCGTACAGTACATATTAGTACAGCAGTACTATATCATGAGAAATTTAAATAATTGATGTTTTGTTGTTGTGTTGCATTCAAATCAAGCACACTCTAACGCTAACGTCATTGGCGTTGCATTATACCCTGATCATAAATGTCCCCGTGTCCTCCAGATGCAGCTTGAGCGTCTCCTTGCGCGGCAGATGGAGATCCTGCAGGATGCTGCCGTCCAGGAGCGGCTCCAGGCCCTGGATTGGAGGATCCCTCCTGCTGCGCTAAAGTACCTCAACGACGCCCAGAACACAAACGGAACCACCGCTGACACCAGCAGAGACAACCAAGGCAAGAAACGTGCAGAGAGCGATGTTTATTTACTGTATCCACACAGTCGATACAAGTGTTGTTATTTGCACACACTGCCCAGGTTAAAATCAACTCAACAGTCGTTTGATCTAAACCCAGTGTTTATGAAACACATTCCACTAAACTAGCACAGTTAAACTCAGTGCTTTTAAACCGGTGCTTTGTCAGGGAATTATGGCCCAAAGCACAGTAATAATTAAAACCCAATGGAGTCCAGTTAAAAATCACCATGAAATAAATCAATTTGGAACAGGAAGAGAAATGACAGGAGATAGATGTCTGTGTTTGTTATTTGTGTCTAATTTAAATAACTGAATTATTAATATGGAAAAAAATGTCAAGAAAAAAAGCTCAAACATTTAATACATTATTATCTTGTTAAACCACTCATCAATAAATGCCTGCGATGTATTAAGTTCACATTAAAGCAAATATTAAACATTATAACTTTGAAAGTACACTGCTCACATGCTCTGGGTACACATGTATACAACTTTAGTTTAATACAGTATATGATTTTGTCACATTAAAGTTTAAGTTGAGATTTACAAGAAATATTTGCTCCACTACAGTCTTGAGTGAATTAATGCCAGAACTCTGTCAGGGATTTCTCCGTCTTGCTGATTGCGATGTCACGTGGTTTTGAGGGGATTATTTCATGTCATAAATGCTATAGGATGTTCAGCTAAGGTGCAGAGGTTTTTTCACACCCAGTGGTGGCAGCTGTCTTTTTTTTTTTTTTTTATCAATCTCCACTTTGATACAGATGTGAGACAGAAGACGGAGTGAGAAAGAAAGGGACGCATCATTATTCAGGATTGCACTTCTGCTCCAGGCCTCATCTCATTTTCGTCCTTTTCCCTTCTTCACCCACTCCCGACAGCTCATTATAACACTGTTCCCACAAATCCCACAATGCACCTGTAATTATCACACCCACGCCTGTTTACCTCCAGCCAGTTGCCCTGAGGGGGGCGTCTCTCTCTCTCTCTCTCTCTTTGGATCTATCTCTCTCTCCCTCTCCCTCTTGCCTCCCACTCCTCTCTGCCTCTCCTGCTCTTTTTCCTCCTTCCTGTCATTTGTCATGTCATCTCTTTGTCTTCATGTCTGCCACTCGTCTTAACCTCTCTTCTGCTGCAGTGTCTAACATCAAGTTCACTTTAGTTTTTTTTTTTGTTTTGTTAAATGTTAATTTGTCCCCTTCTGTCATTATCTATTTATACACACCATGTCACGGTGGGATTCTTTTGTGCACATTTTACCACATCTGCTCTTTGCAGCTGGGTTCAAAAATGATAACTTTACCTGAATGTTGGTCTCCGGACCAACATGCGGTGATTCAAACAACCAAGTTTGATTGTTTTGGTGCTGGTTCTACATGCCACAGTGGCCTTGGGCAAGTTGAAACATCTAGCCACGGTGGCTTGTACAGCCTGTGTTCTCATACTGTCAGTTCTAACTAAGGAGAGTTGGATCAAAAGTCCAATTCAGAGTAAAAACAGTACAACACTTGTTTTTCTTAATGTGTGCTGTCCTACAGCACACATTACAAAGAGGTAAACGAAAACCCATCCCACCTTACAAAGACTCAGTCGTTGGTGGACACAACTGTTATACTCATTTCTAACGTCCTAATTAAGGAATCTCCCAGAATGCTGCTCCCAGGCCATCAAGCTTGTTGTGTTGCTAAGATAGCTCACACCCCGTTAACATTTTGTGTATATAGACATATGAGTGAACAGATTGCAGTGTGCGTCAAGTAGCTCTGACATCAGATAAAAACTCGCTCCAAATCAGCCACTTTGTAATGATATTTATAGGCAGATATATTCACTTCTAATGAAATCCCCATTCGGCAATTCAGAAACTACACTTGAATCCTCTGTTCTATCTCTTTGTGTGTGTTTTTTTTCCTCTCTGTGAGAATAGAAAGCTAACACCAGGGACACGCAGCCTAAGTCAGAAACACACACCCAGGGTTCCACAGGGGATATTATCATTACAACATCTGTGCCGATGCCTGGTTCAGTCACAAGTCGTTTGTTTAAGTTTACTCTATGTTTTGATTCAAGGTTTTATATAAGCATTTTCTTTTAAATTAATATTTTTTTCCCCAAAATTGATTCCAGTAGAGCATGGAAACCATATTATCACTACGCTTGAGGAGTTACAAGAAACTTTATCATGTGATCATGTAGTAAAAAAATATATTTGCTGCCCTCCCTTTGATTCACAATCACTTTACAGAGTAACAGAATTAAGCTAGCCTAAACACCGACCTTCAACATACAGGTGTACACAATTTACATAGAAGTAATATTGCAGAAGTTACCGCTTGTATTTATTGCTAACTAACATGTGAATGCCAAAAATGTTCACCAGAAAAATTGAGTTATTCCACTGTAGATGTAATGAATCAGAGTGAATTAACCTTATTTTCATTGAGTTGGATACATGAGGTGTCATCGCTATAACAACAACCATTTCTTATATGAAGTCCATGGTACAGCACGTAAACACTGTCCTCTTTTCTTTTTCCAGACGACCGTCCGATCAACTTGCGTGTAGTCAGTCAAAACATGCAGGAAGGGGAGCTCCCACTGGGCAAGCAGCTGGCAAATGAACTGAAGCGTCATCATAACCACAACCACAACAACAACAGCAACCACAACAACAACAGCAACCACAACAACAACAGTAACAGCACAGATGAGACAAAAACACCAGCAACAGGTGAGTGGTTTCAAAATGCTGTCATTCCCAGTCATGGAAGAAGTAGCATGTCCTGTATATGACTAGCCTAGGTGCTACGTATTATATTGCGTTCATTAAATAGAAACATTTTTTAAGAAAGCTTATAAAAATACAGGAAAGCTATTCTGTAACTTAGCTCATGGACATTGTTTTTATTTGTTGAAGGCTGGGCGCCATAAGACCTCATTTACGCCAAGTGTGAGTGAGAGTGAGACTACATTAGATTAGATTGAACTATATGGATCCCACACTGGGGATTGTGTTGTGGGGACTGAGGCAAAGACTGTACAATAGTAAGATCTAACGCTGCATTGGCCGGGAATCGAACCCAGGCCCCCTGAGCTAGCGAGGAATAATACCTCCATCCATCCATCCATTTTCATCCGCTTATCCGTTACCGGGTCGCGGGGGCAGCAGTCTCCACGACCACCACCCAAATTACACTGCACCGTACCAACCCCCCCAAACCTTCCTGCGGGTGGTGAGTCCACTGGAAGGTACCAACCGCCCTAACCGGGATTCGAACTTGCCCAGGAGGCGAACCCTGGGGTTCCACACCAATGACAGAGACATTGCCTCTGGGCCAAAGCGCCACGGAATAATACCTCTACCTTCTAATTAAGGAACGTCCTAAAGTTTTTCTGGTATGGCCAAATCAGGTCAACTGTGATGAAAAAAACCTCCATCAGTTTAGTCTGTGTAGTTTCAGCGTTCTTTTTCAGCTCATAAATGTATTTGCTGATGATATTCTCATTAATCCTTCCCCTCAGAAAACGGTACGTCACAACGGTTGGCCAGCAACGCAGAGAAGAAGACCATTAAGACAGAGCCAGAAGACTCCACATAGTGCCTCCCCACCCCCCACCTTCCCCTCATCCAAAATGCCCACCTCGAACCCACTCCCGACTCATTCTACTCACAGTATGCAGTTATTACTCATCAATAGATTCTAAGCAAGCACAGCCACAGTAGAGCCTTAACAACCAACGATGCCTCACGGATAGCATTTATTTTTCTTTGATTTGTCTTCTTAAATTTTTACATATATATATTTTGTGCCAGTTCACTTAGAGAGCATGTGAAGAAGCCCCTCAGTGCTCTGCAGGTATTTGTTTATTAATTGTATACATGTCATTTAAGAGTGATCTGTGTTGACGTCTGTTTCTCCTTTAGCTCTGCCTAGCTGTTAATTATGTTGTGTTAGTTACAGTTAGGGTGTGAGTGGGAGACATCAGGGCTGAGTCTTAACTCAAACGTTAGCTCCAACAGTAGACAAAAGCAGAAACATCGGCTAACTTCACTTACACTGGCATCAGGTGCTGCAGGTTTTGTTGTAGGTTTATTTTTAACCCTACACTGAGTGATTTCTCATTCTTTCTAATCTAAAGTTAGATTAAAATAATTCAATGTTTTTAACGATTAGCTTGTGAAACATGAATAATGCATATGTTTATTTAAAAAACAGAGTCTAATCATTGTGCAGACCATCTTTAACGTTAAATCTTTAGTAATATTTGCTCTATTTGGTTACATTTTGTCAAAATGAGTCTTCGGCTTTTTTGCGATATCCTAACTCCTGCTCGCCTAAACTTCAGTGGTCATCTTTTAAATTATTGTTTATTTATTTTGGCCTATTTGTTTATCTTGTTTATGCCTTTGCTAACGTTTAGCATTTAAACGCTATTACATTCATTTGCTTTTGTAGTTAAAAAGCTCTCAACATCTAGATAAAGTGGATACAGATTTGGCCTCCAGCCATTGTTAAATTGTTTTCATTTGCCTTCAGGTATTTTTACATTTTCAAACCTATCGCATCTAGGATTTATACATTTATTTATAAAGATCACATGCTTTTGAGCTTTTGTCACTTTCTGGATTGAAACATAGAGCAGGCGTATGAATATGTACTGTAAGTAAACATGTACTGTAAGGTGGGTTGGGTTAGGACTCAGCCCCTATAAAGATCATGCTTGTTTTCGGTCATTGATGGTCAAACATAAAGAGTGGGATTAATTCTTTCCTTCTTACCTGCATTGTTTATATTTATGGTTTGTTTTAAAAAAATAAGAGGATGTACTGGAGCTCTTGTGGAGTAGACGCTCAGGACCACCAGCACACGCTGGAGGCGGAGCTACTGTAATCGGTTCATTTCACTTTGTAATTTAGCAAAACACTGCTGTTGAACCAAAACCATGCGTCTGCAGTACAGACAGGGATTATTTCAGGAAAAAACAACGCCCGTGTGTGTCTTTTTAGAAATAATCCCAGCAGCTTTCAGGTTGTAAAATTTCCGGAGTATGAAACTTGTCACCTGGAAGCAATAAAAAAAAAAAAAGTTTTTGTGTTTTGGCCACAATTGTGTCAAAAAATCAAAAACTATCTGTGTTGTGTAGATAGTAACCTACAGTGTGAGTCTTATCTCCCAACCAGGGTTTTTATTTTGTTCAGTGTAACTTTGCTGTAGATTATTGGTGTCGAATACAACATTTAAATGTAAAGTAAAACACTTCAGAAAAAAAATCTCACATCATTTAAGTGTCAAATTCAACAGTGTGAAATTGTGTTGTGTACAAAGAACACGCTTTGCGTGATAAAAATTTTGTTAAGCCTTAGCTCTTAGCAGTTTTTAATCCACATGTGATGGCTGTGCATAATGTATACTTCAAATGTGTTTTGCTGTTAAGAAGTAGATACATAACAACCTGAGTGTTACTTTGTGTCCTGTCAATTGTGTAAATATGTCTATAATGTCCAAAAAGTTGTTATAATGTCTATAAATTTTAGTCAATCTCTCCTCCTCCCTGCAGGTCCTTTAGTCTCGTTAGTCAACATAATGACAACAATGACAGATGCAATATAAATGTAAGTAATAAGTCAGTTTGCATTCTCTTTGTTATTCTATCGTTTACTGTATGTCTGTCAGCAGAGTGGAAAATACCAACAATGTGGGAAATGTGGGTGTCGTCTGCATAACGATGCACACAAGCACTGTATTTGTTTCTCAGTCTGTACAAAGGATACCATGAGGTGGTTGGTACTGAACAGGGAGGTTTGTTATCAGTCATAAAAAAGGTGAAGTTCACTGTAAAAACTAAAAAACAAAACAAAAAAACACTGACATTTTCTACCATCTAATATCTCAGAGAACAGCTTTTACGTGTCTATCTTGGCAACTCACTGATCACCCTTTCCTCACTGTTTATTGTAAAGTGATAGATTAGGCTTCACCGAGTTATGCACCAGTTTTTTTAAACACTAATATATTTTATTTGTTATACACATAAACATTAAACTTTATTTTTGAACTGTATTGTGTTGTTGTGGGGTCTGTGATCAATGTTGCCTGAAAATCCTTTTCTAAGCAATAATGGAGTTGTTGTTTTTTTCGAGAGGGTTTTCTTGTGTGTTGCTTCAGATTAACAAATACATTAATTAAAGGAAAAGAAATATAAGTTGTAGATTAATCAACGTTAGGAAAGTGATTACCACAGAAGCAAGAAAAATTCACAAAAGTCAAGTTTTTTTCAAAAACTAACCAGATTAACCAAGAAAGGTGAGCAAAAGTAGCTCATTTAAAATAAAGACATCCTGAAAAATCCCAAGACAATTTATCTTCATCCCAATCATACCTGTAATAGTTTTAAACAGATCTAAACTTAGCCATTAATGAAGTTAGCCAAAGTTATTTATGTCATTTGTATGATGCTAAACCAATTAGTTTAGAACAGTCAAGAAATCTTCTATGATCCTGGCTATCAATCTAGACGTTGACAATAAAGTAAACTAAAAACTTAAAGTACACCCAGAAATTTTATGACAGATAGAAAAAGAGATTAGCTAGACAGATTACAGTACAATATTTAAACATGAGCCTTAATTATGTTTTATAACAGGTAGTTGACAGCAGCAACACATGCACTCATCTAAAGAGTGGGGAGGCCACTTCTGTCCCGGAGGTCGAATATTTGAAACCCCTGCACTAAAATCTATATAATTCTAAAAAGGCTCATCACCGGCCTTTTCAAAAATATATACCATTATGAACCTGATGAAAAATGACAAATCATGACAAAACATTTCCTGGGGCCTTGATCTTTGGTAAACTTTGACCTTTTATTCATCTAAATTGGCTACAACAGCACCGTCTCTCAACACAAGAGTAGGTGCGGTGTCCTAATGTATACAAATGTATACAAAACACTAATGTTTTATGACAGTTTCGTTCTATAGAAATCAGTTTGTCGATACTTTGACCCGGTCGCTGTCACAGCACCACAGTGGATCAAGTATGTGCTACGTGATGCACTAAACCTGCATCTCATCACCAAAATCTTATTAGCTCTAAAGATTAGCCTTAACTTGTACTGACTGTAACCCAGGTTCACAGATAAGGAAACTTAAGTGATCTTCCTTTAAAGGAGATTCTCTGCCCTCCGTTTTCTTTTCTTTTTTTAAAGAAACAAGTATCCTTTGCAGCACATTTGCATCCACGTCACATCAACACATTGTGAAACCAGCTGATGAGTCACTGTGACGCAGGCCCTCTTCGCATACCTCCCATCGTTCTCTTCTCTCCTCCACCCTCCTGCACTGCCGCCATCCCATCTCGCACACACACACACGTACACACATACACGGACAGATCTTACTCCGGAGAATAGCTCGGCTCATGAACACCCACGCTGGTTTCTGTTCACAGTGGCAGCCCTGCCTGGCACACAACCGGTCTCCCCTACCCTTCTCTCCCTCTCCCTGTCCTCCTCCTTCTCTTCCTCCTCCAGTGCAAGTCACTGACGATGATGATGATGGTGGTGGTGATGTGTTGCTGTGGTAACGCTGGATGTGGGTGGCTCCATGGGCGGTGGGCGGAAGCCAGCCGCTAAGCAGCGTAGGAGGGATGTGCAGAGCGCACCCATCACCCTCATTTTGAAAGGAGCAGGAAGCTGACGGCTTTGAGAAGGTGTGGGTGTGGGTGAATTATCACCTCTCCTCCCTGCAGCTTTGTTAGGGATCGCCTTGTTTGTCTCCCTTCCTTCCTTTGTTTTCTCCTTTCTTTTACTGCTGCATGTGGGGAAAGTGCAGCCGTCGTGGTTTGGATAATTGTGTAAAATTAGAGAAATGCTCTTAGTTTAAAAAAAGTATTTTGTTTTGAGCCGTTTCTAAGCAAAGCAAACACATTGAAAGTCCAAAAAATATTATAGAGATATAAAAGCTAATAATTGCTGTAACATAACAATTCACCCACTGTGGGACCAATACAGTTTAATCTAATCTAATTTAATCTAATCTAATAAAACACCTAAGTCTGTTATTTCAGTCTTCCCTTATTTTTCTCAAACTTCATTGATAATGGAATAAAATATCTAAATATATAGTTTATAGTTAAAAAATATTTAATGACTTAAAATGTTATTCTGTTAATATCTCAATACTATTTTCTATTTTTCTATTTTCAGATTCAGAATCAGACTACCAGGGGTGATGTAGAGGGCAGAGAGCAGCACGTTGAGGAAAATAGATATAATTCTAGTACAGAACAGTACAAAATAGAACAATGCACAATAGCCAGGAATAAATGTCAAGAAAGATAACGTCTGTGGAAGGAGAGGCAGAAATGTTAAAGAAATATCAAAATGAGAAATTGTGTTGTGATTTAATTATTTGTCAATGGTTCCAGATATTTGCCATTTTTAACTTTGAGCTTCTTTCTAATATGTTTTTGTTAGCTCTAAATGTTCTTTAATTAAGCTTTTTTTGTCATCCCAGTCTCCTGGTAGCTCCAGCATATTGAAATGAAACAGTTCAACAGTAAGCGCACCCACCAAAGGCAGAGAGAATATACACGTGACAATAGTGCACCTAAGACGTGGAGGGGAAAAGGGAAGACAGAGCTTATCCTGATTGCCTGGAAGATCGATCTGATTTTAGTGTGGGCTTGTACCTGTCTGAAGGAGTTTAAGAAGAAGGCAACTGGACTGTAATATCTTTTTTGTGTTGTTGAAAAAGACTACTGGACATAGCAAGGTTTTTTTTAACTGTAATAAACATTACATTTTAGTAATATTATGACGAAAACGAGAAAAAAAAAGGCTTTCAACATTCGTTTTTTTCTCACAAATTCTCACCCAAATGTTTGGAATTCCCCTCTTAGTGATGACACAGAAAAAAGCTGCAGAGTCTGTGTTTCCTCCAGTAAATGTTGTCCAAATTAAAAAAAAACTCTTCCAAGTATACGCCATTATTAGTCATATCAGTGTGTTTGTTTTACCCCACTTGGAGCACCAGGTGGGTGGAGTTTACAGCTCATCAGCCGTAGCCAGATAAAAGTTGGAAGTCGTAAACTTAAAACTTGAAGCAACATTTGAATAAGAAAAAAATCCAGTCAGTAATCCCGTTTCTAAGTTTTTAATTTTTCACACACATGGGCCATCAGGAAAGTTTGAATATCCCTGTACTGCGTGACTAGAAGAGGGGCCAAGACCCTTCATTTCTATTTCAGTAATTGTATATATTTAAAAATGTATTTTCTATGAACTCTCAATATTTTCTGTTCTTCAGGTTTCCAAAATTAGACCTTGTATGGGCTGAAGTACCTCAACATTCTGTATTTCACTGAGGCTGGCGTGCTTCTAGTTCTGTTCCACTCCCTTACTTCCTTAAGCTCACGTCATTTCATTTAAAAAACTGGTTAAAGTCTATGTTATCATTCTCTGTGATGTTCATCCCCTAACTTTGAACTCTGACATGTCACTGTAGCAGAAGTATTCATTCTTTGTCTGTCTACTTTGTGAGCATTAACAATTCTTCACCTAAGTTTTCTATTTTTTACCTGAGGCTTTCAGAAGTTCAATCCCTAAACTAAATTATCATTTACTAAGTGCAGCATATCTGAGAATAATGCGGTAAAATAGGAATACGCAACTTCACTGTCAGAGTATGGTATTATACCAGGAGACGGCGCTCTAACTAAATGATCTCTTTGCTGGGGAGCGCTCCAGATGATGTGCAGTACCTTCAAACTTCACAAGGTGTCAGACCATGACTAGACATCCCGGCAACAGCATACGTCTGCGCTGCTTTTTAACATTAATCGAAAGTTCTGAGATGAGTCGATATGATGCGTAATTAAATATAATATAATAACATTTTTATGAAATAGTAGTGTTAATATCCAGATTATGTTGTTCCATAATTTCTGTGTCCTAATTTCTAGGCCAAGCATGAGTACATTTGGTTGAAGGCTATTTTTAATGTGTAATGTTTTCCGGGTGTGGACCAAGACATTTTATGTTTGCCTTTCGACAAGGCTAGAATTTAGTTTCCATAAATTTCTACTTTTATCTGATTCACAATGTGTATTTGCCAATTCTGACAACATGTATAGCTTTATATAAATAATTTTAGTTTTATTTTTTCTCAAATTATTTTGTTAAAATTCTATAATTCTGACAAACAATTAGGTTTAAGGTTTAAATTAGAAAAACTTCAATTTCATTTTTTGTTTTGACTGTAAGAAGCGATAAAACGCGTGCAAAGCTATCCTTATGATTGACAGCTCTATTGACCACTGGCACGTGCGACATATTTTGCCGGTCCAATCACAACTCATGTTGTGTCATCAGGGTAGGTTGTCACAGACTTTGCCATCGGCTGACTAAGGAAACCGTTAGAAAATTGAACCGACCATCTCTGCTGAAAGAATCTCTTTAGTATATTGAGCTTTACTATAGCACCTGCTCATTTTTTTCTACATAGTTAAATCCGCGGGGTGAAAATGTTACATTTTCGGTCCACAGTAACATTAACTGAGTTGTTTCAATGCCAGCTGAAGCGTCCGTTCACCTGCGGAGCGGCGGTGAAAGCGGCACCTGCAGCCGCCGCCTGTTTCAGCAGCGGGGCTTCCAGTGGGAGGTCAACCGGCAAAGAGAGGACATTAACGGGCTGGGGAGCTCCGCAGCACATCGGCCGAAAGACTGGCGTGAGGAACTTCTGCTCAAAGGAGGACGGACAGAATGAGGCTCTTAAAGACTCTTCAACGGAGAAGTAAGTGACGTTTGAGCTAGTTGCGAGCGTGTTAGCCGGTAGCAGGTAGTAGTAGGCCGAATCCCATAGGGAAAAACTGCGATTTTAATACATTCACCATTCGTTTTGAATGGATATGTGATACCAAAAAGGTGATCCATAAAGTTTCGGTATTTTTGCGAGAGTCACAGAATGGAACCAGACTTGACGTCGAATTACTTTTTTAAATAATTAAAGGCTGTTCTTTTGGTTTCCATGATTAAGAATATGTGAGAATTTACAGTAGTCCATCTTGATTAGGCATCTAGATGTAAGTAGCGGTGTACACGAAGGTTTCCATAATCGGACAAGCCGAGTTTCTACTGTCTCGATAAATGTAATAAATAGAACCACACTAAAGCACATCACTACTTTGTTGTGGTGCTTTCCAGTTGATCAATAAGAATTTTTTTTATTGGGGCCGCAAGATGCGATAAACTGAAGCAGACGGCTGTCGTGACTAGCCGGGTGCACCAGTTTCACTGTGTTGGAACACTTATCAGTAAATCAGTCAACAAACACAACGTCACTGTTGAAATCAGTAGCACAACAACATGCTCATAAAGTCTGGTGAAGGTCAATCATACGATATATAACCCACCAACACGTGACCGATAAGAATGACGCAGAAATGGGGAAATATGGAGTGAGTAGAATGAATCTGAAGATGATCACTTTGTCAGAGGGCAAATGAGTGCTTGACTACAGTGAAGAGAGCTTGAGAGGTAACTCTGTGGCAAAAAGCTTTTGATGACCAAAAATCACAGCAAAGTCACAGGTTAACAGGGCAGCTCACTATTTCCTCTTCAAACTAGTTACCATCATTTCAGGCAGTGATCCTCATCATACTGCCTCTTAACTGTGAAGTGCTATATCAGTATTTAGAAAATGACAGTGTTGAGTCTTCAGTTCCCTTTGGGAATTTTTCTACTTACTAAACTATATTTTTACCAGTGCTGTGTCAGGGATGCAGGGAACGTTCGCTGTTTTATTGATAGTCAAAGTATCTGCAGTTGCTTCTTCCGCAATAGTGAAAAATCAGCTGAAAGGTATTTTTACTTATCCACCCCAAAGGCGTAGATATGTTCTTCCTAAATATATGTTCTAGTACACCATGTTTCTTATATTGAACAAAGGTTTTGTCATCTTTAATGTTAACATCAGTTCAGTATCCTATCAACCCTGTACAACCTGTGTGCACTCTCCCTGGAAATAAAATGCCTCATTGCTTTAGCAGCCTGGAGATGCGTAATTTGTTTCTGTTCACGGTCAATTTGCTTGAACTGTCGTCCATGTTTATGTAGTCATTAGCCAACTGGACAGCTAGTTATCACCTTGTTTCCCTGGAGTTACATTTAAGTTTCGTCTAAGTCCACGGGGATCCTTTTTAGTACTAGATTTAGTAATCCTGAGCTTATTTTTAACTACCTCCAAGTTACCATGTCAGTGTTGCTGCACTTACTGACTGTTCATTATGTTGCCTTTCCATGGCAGCAGATAGTAGTACTAGACCCAGTCCATACCTTTTTGTCATATTAATCTTGTTTTGACTTATTTTATTTCAATGTATGTATTTATATTGTTTTAAGGTATTTTTGGTATTATTAGACTTTGTGTTAGGGCCAATCTAAGCTGTTTCTCCCCTCAAATATATACATATGTACAGTATACTTTTTTTTACAGTTTTAACCACATTTTCCACAATGATTCTTCATTTACAACAGAACCCCAAAGGCACAGGCAGCATTGATCTGACGGTAGTAGCTGGCGTTAGACAGTTTGTTGGCACACTGCCCAGCAGCTGTAATGGCACAAAGGAGCAGATGAGTCACTCCAACAGATTGATTTGTGCTGTGCTGCCTTTCACCACTGCCAGATATTTATCTACCTCCATCCTCCTCCTGTTTTTCATGGCATCTGTCAGGCAGCCAACACTTAAACCATTGATTGGGTCTGATTATTACTTCTACAGATACAGATATTTCTACAGGATTGGCACATTACACCTACCAAATATTGGAAAGAACTTGGCCAAAAAAATCCCAAATGGTGCACATCTTATATTTAGTGTTTCTAGTTACAGGCTGAATGTGTTTTATACCAATGATCAGCGGCTGAGGTTTTACAAAGGTAGAAGTTAGCCCTGGCAGCCCATGAAGACAGTTTGGACAACCCAGCACAAAACGGTGTCTTTTTTGTGCCATTGGTTTTTCTGCTTCACTCCCATGACTGACAGAGCTGACTTTTGGTGGGGAATACATTAATGACTCTCTACAAGATGTCCACTTATGACCTATTGGTGATGATGCTTCCTTTATATCTCTAAGGTGGCTAACATGTGGACGTACTGTCACTCTCTGTCCTTCATTCTCTGTATGTCTACAGTCTTTATTAAATGTTGTAAATATGCTAACTATGCTAACTGCACTGCTTTAAATTCAGGTCAGCACACAGGTTTTTAGTGACAGATTCTCTACCACAAGGTTTATTCCTTTGTTTAGATACAGACCTACTTTATAATCCTAACCTGGAAGGTGAGTACAGCAACCCAATGTAAATTTGCTAATATAGTCAGGTAGGTAAAGCCATTTCTGCATTGTTGTCAGGTACAATAAATTCAAAATAAAATGAAAACACATCTGGACTGCAGGCAGGACGGTCTTTTGTATCTTTTTAGAATAAAGTCTGACATCCTGCTACAGTTTTGTTTTTTGTTTCTTTTGTTGTTTGTTTGTTTTTTTGTTTTTAGTTTTTTTCAAAAAATGTAAGCGCTTCTCAGTTTGGAATGTTGCAACACAGTTATTCTGCTTGTACTGTAAATGTGACTGTTACTCTGTCTCTAATTCAATATTTCTTCTGCACTCTTTTCTCCTGTTGTTGATCTGCTTGTTTTGCATTGTAAGTATATTTTTCATTTATTATTTTCAGTTTCAGAGATCTTTCTCTTTTCTTTTTTTTCCCAGTAGAAGTAGAAGTTTCCTGCAATCACCCCAAAACTGCTTAGACCTTCACACCACCTCAATTCCCTCTATTGGCTGCACTTGAGTCCCTGCCCCTCCTTACCTTGTTTTCTATTCCTTCATCCCTTTGTATACACCACAGGGTGTTTGATCCAGAGTTAAGTGTGTCAGGGCTTAGTCGGACTGTATATATATGTATATACATATATGTATGTATATGTACAGTATATGTGTGTGTGTATATATATATAACAATAATGCCTTAAAAAAAACAATTCAAACACAGTTGTGCCTCTGAATCGTCTGTCATCCTAAATGCAGTGCGCTGTGGGCTTTGATACACTGCAGGACATCACAAAGGCTTTTCAAGCAAATCAGATTAACTGTAAACATGAATCATAGCAGAAGGGCTGCTGTGAACAGCTAACCTCAACTCTCTCTTCCTTCCTTTAACACCACTAACCTTCCTCCAAAAAGAATACCATGGATATACTGGGAATACCAGCCAAACCATAGATGACTCATGAATGTCATCAGGCATTTAGGGATAACATTTTTTCAAGGTTATTGTCAAGATCACAAAATTTAACTAACGCTCGGCACACAATTAGCAATATAGTTTTAACAAAATATTGCATTTCATTATAGTAGACATGATTCCATAGCAAAATAAATTGAAGTAATTTATCTTAACTGACAATATAAGGGTCACAATCCAGAAATGACACCACATTTTCTGCCTATAAAGAGGAATTATAACAAAAATGCATGAAATGTTCAAAATATTTTTGGCTTTGTGCATGCAGAAATTACTGGTGCTCTTCAACTATTTGTTGGAGTTAAGGGGCTTGTAGTGTGTTGTTGGGTAAGGTTACCTGATGGGGTCATTTGCCATCGTGGCTGGTATTCTGGCAGTTATTGTTAACATTACATGGGCCTTATGGCAGCATATTAACCTGTGGAAGAAAAATTCATGATCTTGTATCTAGTTTGGAACTGAATTTTATTTTCCTAAATATAGACCTAAATGTTTTGTTGCTGGTATAACACTGCATTATTAAATTCTTCCACTGCTTAAAATACTAACATAAGGCAAATGTGAGGTTATATTTCCTGCTACAGGATTCATTTGTGACTAATGTATTACTCACTGCTTCTCTTTGCAGTCAAAGATCTTTTCCCCGTCCCTCTGCTGCTAAATGTCTACATCTAAAAACAGGCCTCACTCTTGTTTTGTTTTCTTCTTTTTGTTCTCTCCAGGAGAAGAAAGGCAGGCATCCTGCCCAGTCTGGAGGACCTGCTTTTCTACACCATTGCCGAAGGCCAGGAGAAAATCCCTGCACACAAGTTCACTACAGTGAGTCTTACTCCAAGCACTACTGACAAACACAGAGACTCTAAAAGTAGGAGACCATGTCCTACTGAACATAGGAGACACAGAGAAGACAAGTGGATTTAACCTGTGGCGTACATAATTTTTGGTCCTAAACTTAAACAGTTCTGACTTGGTGGTAGATGCTGAAGTGATGGATAGGAATAAAGTTAATTGTATTGTCAAAAAATAGTTTTTGCAGGATTTGTAGAAAATTGCACCTATGTTTGGTTAAATGACAATTCCTGTGGCTTTTGTAGGTTAAACCCTTTATATATTTGCACTGAATAAATCTTGGACCTGCCTCAGGTTGTGTTATGATTTAGTAGACTCTCCTTTTCAGGAAACAATATCTACGGCTCGTAGCTTTATTGATTTAACATCAGTCTGTCTTCATCATGACCCTCTCCACTTGCTGTCTCTGTGTAGGCTCTTAAAGCTACCGGGCTCCGCACAGGAGACCCCCGGCTGAAGGAATGTATGGAGATGCTGAAGGTGACCATGAAGAAAACGTCTGACGGAGCACTGGACCGACACCTCTTCAAGAAGTAGGCTTTCTCACCAAACTGCAGATACAAAAGTCTTGGTCGTACTGGTCTCAACCAGAGTCTGGTCCACATTCACTCAGCGTCAGTAAAGGGTCTCTGTCTGTCATCAATTATTCATCAGCTCTCAGCTTCCACCTCTGTTTGAATTCATTATGAAGCAGCCAGAAGAAGGAAACATGCCGTTGAAATATAACAAAACAGACATGTTTTGAAATGCATTCCTAAACACCATGCATTATTTAATTTAGTTGTAATAACATAATGCGCATCATTAAATGCCCCACCATTGGTGCGACCCCTCGCTTCAGCACAGAACGTCGGAGAGGCAACAGAGTAACAGCTTGGGCTGTGGCGGCACGGTGAGTCAGGGCATATGAAGTCTCACCAGAGGCCTCACCGAACAGACCCCGGAGCCTCAGTGCTCCTAGCTGGATTTTTCCTCACTTCTTCAGGTTTATTTTTAGAGCTCAGCCTCACACAGGGAATCACGGTGGCCGGCCACTGAGTGAAGCATGTGTTTTTGCTGCAGGGATAACATGCTACAAGGACTACATCGGCACTGATGAGCTTATTGAGACAAAATGTCTCAGCAAGAGAAAATTGACTTCATTACTAAAGTAATAATATATGCTATGAATGTCATACATCACATTCCACATACAACAGATTGTTGGATTTTGTCAAGACGTTAGTCATACTGAATCGACATTGCTAACACTTTAAAAAAACTAACACTTTACCTAATATATAGCTTATTTTTCACAAAGAAAGTTGGTAAATAGAAATCAATGTTCCAGTTGATGCAAACCTGTTGCTAGGATGTAGGGTGTGTACAAAATGCGAAGGACAACAGGAGGGTGAAGACATGAAGTTCTTTAAATTTTAAAATTCGAGTTCTATTGACCTCCTTTCGCACTCAGATGTGTCCAGAGCAACATCGTTTTGCTGACCCAGGCATTCAGGAAGAAGTTTGTTATCCCGGACTTTCAGCCTTTTTGCGCCCACATCGATGACCTCTTTGACAAAGCCAAAAACCTGTCAGGAGGTCAGGTGAGTGTGCAGTAGTTGAGAAAACAAGAAAATTATAGAGCAAAAACCAGACTTGTTCTTGCTGTTGTGCCAACATTTAAAAGACCAGATGTTCCTGTAGGTGGCAGACTACATCCCTCAGTTGGCCCGTTTCAGTCCAGATCTGTGGGGCGTGGCCCTGTGCACTGTTGATGGACAGCGGTGAGGCTTTTGACATTTTCACTGAACAAAACCGACCTAATCATGAAGCCAAGTAGTCGAGAACATAAAAGGATTTGATTTAGTTTTCATTGTATCTCAATGTGATTCTTTTTGTAGACACACCGTCGGCGACACCAAAGTGCCCTTCTGCCTGCAGTCCTGCGTCAAACCGCTGAAGTACGCCGTGGCGGTCCACGACCACAGCACAGAGTACGTTCACCGCTTCATTGGCAAAGAGCCCAGCGGCCTCAGGTTCAACAAGCTCTTCCTGAATGAGGATGGTGAGAAAACAGACACCTCACTTCTAATCTGATACATACAGCTGCTGCCAGCCAGACCAGAGCCTCTCCTCTGTGTGGTGACTCTGTCAGCCCTCGTTGGAGTTTCTCCCGCAGGGCTGACAAGCTAAGTAAGAGGATCCATCAAGGTCTCCGTACCATGAAAGTGTGATGAAAAGTTAATGAGGGGTTGTAGCTCTGATACAGGACAGAACAAGAGAGAACAGTTAATAAAGAAAATTAAACTAGTAAAGTAGGGTTGTCAAATGATTAATTCAGATTTTTAATCTGATTAATGATGAGGTAGCTGTGGATTTATCGTAATTAATTGAAATTAATCAATTTAGTTAATCAGCATTTCTAAACATAAAAAACTAACAAGAAAATTGGTGGAACAGAAAAAATTAATATGATATGAAAAATATGAAAAAAAAAAGTATAACTCTAATTTTGTTTTCATAGATTTGGTGGATATTATTCATTACTGTGCTTCATACATTAATAAAAATAAAATGTCTTCTCTGTTGAATTCAAAGGACACAAGGATCAAGTCTAGTTGTGAATAAAGACTAAATTGTTCTGTTGTTTTCTTCATTCTGTATGCTGAGAGTGACTTTGGGTTTAAACTCTGAATAAGAAATGACCTTATCATTCTACTCTTTCACAGATAAGCCTCACAACCCAATGGTTAACGCTGGTGCCATCGTCTGCACCTCCCTCATTAAGGTATGTTTAAAAAAAAACCATTAGCACATAGTGTTGTCTGCTGTTGTTATGATCGGAAATCTTGTATATTATAATACAGTGGGCTGTACAGATACAAATATACATGTTATCAAGTTATCAATAGTATTACAATTCGTGTGGGTGTGGGTTGGGGAGCGTGGAAACATTTCTGTCCCTAAGGCGCGGGGTGCATGACAGAAAATAAATGAGAACCACCGAGCTAGAAAAGCAAAATCATCCAAAAACTAAACCCTCTGTCATCTGGAGGATGTGTTTCTGACACTTTTCTGCACGCAGGCAGATTAAGGTTCTAGATAATCACGCTGAAAGGGGATTTGGCTGAAAGCTGCATCTCTCCGTCAGCCTGCACCTAATACACCAAGTCTGTATAAGAGAGCGAGAGAGTGGGTGGAGACACAGCTGCGTGGGCCGCAGGTCACGTCAGATCAGAAACATTATCAGCTTGAAATCCAGGAAACTGCGAGGGTACCTGCTTATACCTCAGACACAGATTTAAAGCTGGTCCAGTTCTATTGGACATTGAGGTTTAGCATATGAGGTCGAATACTGTTGGGATATTTAAAAACATATACAGTATTTATTAATAAGAATGATCATACAGTGTTTCTCAGGCTACACTTACTGTATGTCCTTTTAAAAATGTGGAATATACAGCAGAATTAAAACCCAAATTTCATTGACTTTTGTTTGGTCTCCATATGTAGTGGAGGTCCATGCCCATGTTGTCCATGTTTACACACATTTAAAAGAATGCAATTCCTGGAAATGCATAGAAAAAGGTCTAATTATTCCAACTGTGTTTCTGTCATAAGATACAGAGAAATAAAGTCAGTTTATAACCTGGGTCTGAGCTCAACACAAAGAATACTTTACCACAACATCTCCAGTGACAGTGACCTCCGGGCTTCTTACTGTACTACACAGAATTTAACAGTAGCTGTGGAAAATGGTAGACATGCCCACTGTGGCCACTGCATTAGACACATTTTATTAGAGGCAGGATTGGTCGTTTAAATAAAAATATATATATATTAAAATTCAATTGAATGTTTATATACAATAAAATAAATTATGTGTTTTGTTTTTCTAGCAAGGAGCCAGCAATGCTGAGAAGTTTGACTATGTGAGTATATCTGTTTAACATTGTTGATAGATGTATATATTTTTTTTTTTTTACTTTAACAGTAACATTAATTCTATTTTCCCTTTTTATGGCTGTCGTGTTTATGAAGTGTTAGACTTTAGTAAAGGACTTCAGAAGTCGTGCAGCTCTTTGATATTTTGATCACAGTTCCAGGACCACAAATCTAGGAACCTAATCTGAGAGAATTTACGTCTAATTTGTATAATAACTGCAGCTTTAGGTGGTTCAATCATAGAGAAAACCCTCAGTTCTACAGTATGTGTGCAGCCCTGGACCTAAAGCATTCATAACAGTGGACCGTCCATTGTTGTTTAACTTGTACGACATTAGAAAAGGAAAGTGAACTCATGACTCTAACTATACGTAGCTCACTGTCATCGAAGTAAAATGTATAAAAAATGTTTGACTCAAGTTGCAAAATGTATTTAGTTTGTTTGATTTCAACCAAAGGATGTTTGTATTTTCTTTGTGTTTATATTGTCGTTTACCTTAATGTTTGTACTGTATGTAGGTGGGGGTGTTTTGGGGTGTATTTTATGGTATTATGCTTTTATTATTTATACTTTATTTGTTATATACGTAATATGATGTGTATATCAAGTCAATTGTTGATGGACAGAAAGATGAAAGTAAGAACAAATAGTAGTAACAAAAAGTACATTTGAAAAAAAAATCTATTTATGTGAACTTCAATAAATAGTTAGGAGTGGAATACATCCAGCTGATCTGCACACTCACCACGAGTCAGGGGTTGTGTACGATTACAGTCAGGTGTGTGTGATTGTTGTCATTTTTATATGATGATTAAACCACAGTCATAATAATAATAATAATAATACATTTTATTTATAAGCGCCTTTCAAGTCACCCAAGGACACTGAAAGACAGGCCCAGGTTTCAAGATTTGTTTTTCCAAGCTATTTTAAGGAAGTGCCAACAGGCAGTTTAGAAAAGATGGTCTGCAGCAGACTGAACACACTTGATTCTAACTGCACTTTAAAGTGGAAAGAAGCTCACTAGTGCCATCTGTCAGGACAACTCTAGTTAGACATGATCTCAGCGTAAGAGTTACAGAACATAAAATTATACGGATTTTTTTGTGGTTTTTATTTTACTTGTTTGTTTATTTATTTATTTATTTTTAGTAAGTTGGATCCAGTCTGTCTAAATATGGTCAGTCTATGTCTCTTACTCTGTTGCTTTGCTCTGCAGGTCATGAACTTCATGAACAAACTGGCTGGAAATGAGTATGTGGGCTTCAGCAACGCCACGTGAGTAAAACACCAGGATAGAGAATTCTAATTAACATCAGGAGTTACTTTACTCCAGATGATTTCATATAATTTATGTGACATTTCCAGATTCCAGTCAGAACGTGAGTCTGGCGACAGAAACTTTGCCATTGGTTACTACCTGAAAGAGAAGAAGGTGAGCTCTAAAATAATCTGCTTTATTCTTGTGCTTTTCTTTTTCTACATCACATCCCATATTTACATTTTTTTCTGACAAATTAATCTACCCAAGTTGACTTTTGCGTTTGCACTTTCAGTGTTTTCCAGAGGGAACGGATATGACGTCCATCCTCGACTTTTACTTCCAGGTACATCCATATTGGAATAAATTGTGAAACACCATGAAATTATAAAATCGGATTATTACTGACCTCAGCATATTTGAAAAAAACAAAACAAAAAAACTGTTCAAGTCCCACTTGTGAGTTGTTTTTGATTCCCCACTGGCAGTTGTGTTCCATCGAGGTGACCTGTGAGAGTGCCAGCGTCATGGCAGCAACTTTAGCCAACGGTGGCTTCTGCCCAATCACAGGTGAGCGGGTTCTTAGCCCCGAGGCGGTGCGGAACACCCTGAGCCTGATGCACTCCTGTGGAATGTACGACTTCTCTGGACAATTTGCTTTCCATGTGAGTTTTCTGGTTTCTACTTTTAACTGTAAAATTCTGTGAAAAATTTGGGACCTAGCAGTTGTGTTCACATTTTTTTGTTTGTTTAAAGGTTGGTTTGCCAGCAAAGTCCGGTGTCGCTGGTGGGATTCTGCTGGTTGTACCAAATGTTATGGGCATCATGTGCTGGTCGCCCCCTCTGGACAAACTGGGCAACAGTGTCAGGGGAATTCAGTTTTGTACGGTACATTCACTGTTCACATTGTTTCCTTCACCAGATATTGATTTATCATTTTTGTTGTCCTTTGTGATCTCATTTGAAACTAACAGGTTTCAAATTGTTTTTCCAGGACCTGGTTTCACACTTCAACTTTCACAACTACGACAATCTGAGGCACTTTGCAAAGAAATACGATCCTCGCAGGGAGGGAGGAGACCAGAGGGTACGTTCTTCAAAATTCTCTCTAGTTGACTTCCGTGTGTTCCCAACATGGCCTTTCTGACAAACGTTCTGTCACATGTTGTTGTTATGACTTCACACCACAGCTCCATCTGCTGGATGCTTAATTTCTACACCCAATGTGTGTTGGTGGACCTCTGCTATTTTCAAATTTATTTCAATATTTCAAATTTTGCACATTTTTTAATTAGCCTTTTTCATATTTTTAGGTCAAATCTGTGATCAACCTGCTGTTTGCTGCCTACACTGGAGATGTTTCAGCTCTGAGGAGGTAAAAAAAAGAGACTTCATTAATGCACTTGTTCCAAATCCTCCATCCTTTGTTTGGTTTACAAAGCATATATTTTTGTGATTATTCCATAGGTTTGCTTTGTCCTCCATGGACATGGAGCAGAGAGACTACGACTCCAGGACTGCCCTGCATGTGGCAGCGGCTGAAGGTAGAAACCACAGCCTTATTTTCATGTATTAAAGCCAAAACATTTATGATATTTTTGTTGGTGAGATATTTTAACCAAAAAGGCCTATTAGCTCTTTTTTGTCAGCCATTTTAACTTCTTTTTTTCAGTCAATTTGTGCTTTTAATTTATTTTTCAGGACACACTGAGGTGGTTCGATTCCTGCTGGAGGCCTGTAAAGTCAACCCAGTTCCCAAGGACAGGTAACATTTTCTATCCACAGACAGACACAGGATGGAGCACTAATAAAAAATGGTGTAAAAACAATGTAAAGACAATAAAATGAGTAATAGTTTAGAAGTGGATGTCATATTTAAAGTGAAACCATATTTTAGTAATTGTGTGAAAAGTTCTTGGATTCTGTGTTTGAAACTACAAACTGCTTGATTTTAATTTCATTAATTTCTGCAGGTTTATCAGTTGTACTGTACATGTAAAATCAAACTAGCTTAGCTTAGCATAAGCTTCTCAGATGCTTTGTTGTGTTGATATTGCCCATGTGTCCTCCTTTAGCAAAGCAAGGAAACAACATTGTATACATTACCTTGTGGCTGGTTGGCTGAGGGGAGAGTGACACGGACTGTGAAACAGTTCCCAGACAGTAAAAGTAAACTAATATCTTTGTTCCATAGTGTAGCAGTTAGCACGTCTGCCTTACATGTAGAGAGCTGTAGGTTTGAGCCCCAGAGGAACCTCATATCCCTAATGGCGCCTCCTGTGGTAGCCTGTGTGGGTTGCAAAGACTGACTGAATTTCCCCATTGAGGGAGAGTTAAGGAACTCCAATTGCTTACTTTTTGACCATTCATAAAGGATCCTGAGTCAAACTGTGCTTTGAGCGCCCCCTTCTTGATGCACAGTAATTACTTCAGGTGGTCAAATGTGCTTCTGAGGTCTAAGGTTAAGAGTTCAAATGAAAACAAAGTAAATACACATCATTTGATGAATGTCCTGCAGGTGGGGAAACACACCGATGGACGAGGCTGTCCACTTTGGCCACCACGACGTGGTGACCATCCTGCGTGATTACCACAACCAGTACAGCCACCAGGAAAGCACAGCAGACAAACAGAACGCAGAGAAGAACTTGGACGGTATGCTCTGAGGAGACACTGGTCACGAACACCCAACACCAGAACCCGCTTTCAACTTCGTATAAGGTCGTCAGTGTCTGTTGTCAGTTTTGTAATAAATATAAAAATATTCCCACACATATATAAAAAAAAAATATATATATATAATGTATTTTAGCGTCAGCTTTGTAGGAAAAGACAGCGCCACCATTGGAATGCTGGGTAAATTCCGCTGTGGCAGAGGTTTTGGTTTGACCATGCTGTTGTGGCCTGGTTACAGCGCCATCATCACAGGGTGGAGTAATGCATCTTCCCCTCTGAAAACACTTTACTGCGTGTGTGCATTTGTGTGTGTGTGTGATATTTATTCATCTATTTAAGATAAAGTGTACAGTATTTAGTGTGTGGATATCTCAGTGTAAATAAGTGTAGCTGTAATGCTGTAGGCACATCTGTACGGGTGTATCTTTAGACAGGTGTGTACTGTATTATAGTCCTGGTGACACTTGATGTTAATGAGCACATTACTACGACCTTACTGCTTATTCTTAATGTTTATTTGCAGCGTATTGGCCCTTTGTTATCAATGCACAACCAATGAAGACAGTAAACCCTTTGTCAGTGATTGATATGTACATAGTGTCACATTTAGTTACTATTGAATCTCCCTTAAGTTGGATCCAAAATTTCAGCCAATCAAATCAAAGATGAGTTCCAAGCTTTTCTCAGCCAAAGGTTAGATTAAATCCTAAGTCTTTCTAATGTTCAAGAAGTATGGCATTATTATTTTTAACGTTGATAATGTTTACAATTGGACTTTGTTTTGTGTTTTTATTAATTGTCAGTTCATCATTTGATTGTAGAAACTGTCGTTGTTGTCCTGCAACTGTATTCACTTTGACACTGCCAGTTTAAAGTCAAAAGTCTTAATGACAAAACTCAAAACAGCAAAAAAAAGTTAGTTTCCAAAAAATATATAGTATCAATGTCATTTTGACTGTCTGTGTGTGTGTGTGTGTGTGTGTGTGTTTATGGACACTGGAGACTGAAACAGCACAGATTTTTATTTATTCCATGTCAGAAAGATGCTGCCGTACTTAAACTGTGGTTCAGATGTTATGTTCGTGTCGTGTGGTTCCCTAACATGGGGAACAGAATTAAAAAGTGGAGCATAACACTGAGATTGTAAGAGAGAATCAGCAACAGAAATAAGAGAACTGTCAGTTAAGGTCAGCCACTGAATTTGATGTCACTGATTTGAAGTGATCTTTGACTCGGCAGCTCACTTCAATCCTGCGTCAGTGGTGAAACCATGTTCTTTTATTTGTTTTACTCTGTCCGTGCAGATGAAATATTCTGAATGTAACGTGTCAGTGATTTTTTTTTCGTTCCTTCTTATTGTTTATTTTCGACTACCTATAGCACTCTAATTATTTGTTCATAGTTAGAAAAATAAAAGTTAGTTAAGAACTCACATCTTTGTAGTTCTTTCTCCACTTTGAGGCGACGACAAAGTTTAAAAATAGACTTTGATAGGTGCTTGACGTTGCCCTGGGAAACCTGGATTGGACCTTAAATACCAGACATATGTGACGTGTCAACCTGACAGCACAGCTTTTGTGTCTCAGTTGTGTTGAGGTCACATCAAGAGAGGATGCTGTGCCATGTCGTAGCAACGGCATGAGTCATTCACAGAGCTGACTGGATTAGTTACTCCCAGAACAGACCCCACTGACAAAGACAGAGAGATAAGTGACTTATTTGACCCTCCAATAAAGTCACTGTACATATGCAGACACACAAAAAAACTACATTTGTCCTCTGAATTTAATCTGTCAACCATTTCCTGTTTCCACACCCCCAGAAGTTCTTGGAACTGAGATAGAAATTGCCATATAGTTTTGCTTATGAGGTATTTTTTAATGTCATAAAAACGACAATCATTACAGTGAATTTTTCCCCTCACTGTGGCACCAATAAAGAAATATTAATTTAATTAATTTGACCTGCTGTGCCCCCCAAAATAACCCCCCCGCCCTCACTTTGGGAACCACTGTCTCAGTGTAAAGATATTTCTAATCTGTTACTGTTATGCAGGTGGTAGAGGCAGCTCTAGTACGTGTGAGGCCCACTTATCCTTATCCGTACCTTTCTACTACCTATGTCGATTTAAAAACTGCTGCCATCCAACATGTCTTTTACTCTTTTTTAATTTAGTTGAACACAATTAAAACATGTGGTTTTTTTTCCTTTGTTTTCTTACGTGTGGTGAAGTCTGCGCTCTGTTAAAGCCAACGCCTCTCCCTCGGCCTCCCTGCTGACAGGATGAGACAAGAATGCAGCAGTGCCAGACGGGTTAATACAGGCACTGCCCTCTGTCTGCACTGGCAGAAACCACAGTAAAGAAACACATTTACCAAGAGTCTCTTTTTTTTTACCCCACGGTTATAGAAGCAACAAAGGACAATGTGACTCCAATTAGCATCACTTTTAGCTTCTGTTTCAGGAGTACATGAAGTCCTTATGTTTACCTACTGTTATGTTTTCAGTCCTTGTTATTTTGTATCGTTTCCTGATGTGGTTACTTTTACTGACATGTCAAACTGGTTTGGCTGGAACCAAAAGGGCACCACCCAGTACCATGTATTTATTAGAGTAGATCATCATCATCGTCACCATCCAGAGTGACGATCGACACCAGAAATGTTCAGCAGCAGCTCAGGTAAGATGCATTCATTTTTCTAGTTTTTAAGTTTTATTTATCAATATATTGAGTTCCGTTTAAATTCATTTAACATGAACTACTAAGAGAAGTCCAATTGTTCTATAAGTCAGTAAAATTCCCGGGCTGAAAAACAAAAAATCATTCAGCACAACAGAAAAACTGCTGGAAAAATGTGGAAGAGAAGTGAAGAAAAAGGGTTCAGCAAAAAGGTTTCAGCTGCTTTAAAAAAAATTAAGTAGATAGTTAATGGGATGAACCTCTCACACCTTAATGTCTTGTACTTCCTACATGTCAATGGTAGCAGTAAATAAATTAACTTTTTTAAGAAAGCCTTTTTTATTAAACCTGAGTTATTAAAATTTGACTATTACTGGTTAAAACTTCACTTCGAAGCAGGGGAGGCTGTCCGTGTTTGTTTACGCCTGCGGGGGCAAGGAGCAATTTTTGCTGCTTGCTCATCAAACAACAGTCAGACCGGGGCTTGTACCCTGCATGCTCCAATTACAAGCTCCATCTTCTGAAGAATGACGTTCTGCTTACCCATTGATCAGGGGTCACTGCAGTGGTCATCACAGTGAATTGACTTTGTGCACAGGATGCCCTTTCTGACACAACCCAACATGGGATTTGGAGATCAGGTGGGATCACACAGAGCACCAACTACCTGGTGGGCAAGAATCCACTCACCGTGCCACTCTAGATTCCACAAAATAAACTGAGAATAAATAAGTCACCGTTAGGGATTACAATAGAGATTGTCTTGTTATAAGACTAGAGAAGTAACCAATGTAACCACCATGAGATTTACCAATACTAAAAAGAAAGGACTAAGGATTTCACTTCTTTGAACTTTTTGTTTTTACAGACAGCCACCCATCTGGGTATGACCTTGGCCCGCAACCAGGGGACCAAGACCGTCATGGGAGTCGAGGTGCAGGGCAGGATTCTAAAAATGATGACAATCATGGAGGACAGCGTTGTGACGACGGCCGCCATGACAGAGATCGCCACGATGAAGACCATCATGGAGGACAGCGCCGTAATGACGACGATCACGGCAGAGATCGCCACGATGATGACCATCATGGAGGAGACAGTCATGGAAAGGACCACAGGGATGATGATCGACATAGCGGTGGTCGTCATGGCGACAGACACAGCCCTGACCGTGATCGTGATCGTGATCACGACCACAGCCCACGTCGTCATCGTGAGAGTGGCAGTCCTGGCCGTAGCGGCAGCAGTGATAGTGGCAGTTGCAGTGATGATGGGCATGGCAATAAAAAACACGGGCGTAAACACAAGCATGGACGTGGAAAAGGACGCGGTCGTGGACGAGGAGGCGGCTGGTGAACAGGTGAAACGTCAAAACAGCTTTGAAAAATTATTTTTTGAGTTGGGTTGAAAAAAATAACATCACTTGGGGTTAGCATTGGTTAGCACGGATGTCAGTTTTCCCAGTAAATGGTTCCAACCAGTAGCTACTACAACAAATACAAATAAATGGAAAGGAAGAAGAAAATACAGACAGGGGGCAGATGTGCTGCAGATGGACACACCACCATACTCTCCTAGTGATCTCTTAAACCAGAGGTGCCCAGACGTTTTCTGAAGTGGTCTCCTTTTATATATTGGACCCCCAAAGGAGGGGACCCCCACATGGTGCATCAATTCCATAAAAAATTATGTTACTTTTGTACAATTTGGAGTTTTAGGGAAGTCTACCTCACATTTTCTTGTTTGACCTAATTCTATGTTGTGTTGCCGCAGCAACTTACACTAATCTCTTCTGCTTTGTCTCTTAGCAGGAAAGACTCCACCTGCTGCTGCCTCCTCCCTCTGAAGGAAATATCCATTTGTTGTCTACACAGCACAAGTGCAGGGATCTTAACCAGCCACTGGGCGGATAGTGTGCATCAAATTGCACTTATTCTTGTGTTTTTTAAACATTGTTATCAGTTCTTTTCTTGCTGTGATAAAATAAAAACATCAATAAACTATTGCTACGACACCTGTTTAATTATTATCAATCACTTATATTCTCTGAACTATTGCTTTCCGGCACTACGAACAGCCCCCACTGAATTTTTTTTAAATGTTAAATTTGCATCTTATACATACACATTTGCGGTGCCCTCGGCTTGACTTACCTCCTGACTACCATTAGCTTTCTTTGGGGTGCCACACCTACCACCACGGCTCCAAACCTGGCGGCTGGAAGAGGACACGGGATGGTGCTCCTGCCGCGCTTGCAAGTAGACATGTGTACTATAAGTATATTTAAACATGTACTTGTGTGATGTAAAATTAAACACGTCATGTCCGCGGTGTGCCGTATGAGGGGGCGGAAGGGGCGTTTCCTGTGTCTAGTTTTACAGGAAGTTCTTTCTTGGTCCAGGTGATCGCTGTGAGTTCTGGAGAGGCTTAGTTTAAATCCAAAAGAGGTTTGAAGAGTATTTTCTTACTTTCCAAATTATGATTCAAAATGAGTTCATAACTGTCACCAAGCTTACTTAATACGTTGATACACAGTGTAACTGATAAGCGGTAGTGGGCGCACTATCTAATATGAAAGCGAAATGAACAGACAAGAAACGTTAACATGCGCTTTACTGACGTGACGTTGTTGTGATAAGTTATGCAAGTTTACTGGGGTAAGGGCGACACCTGTTGGTGAAATTATGTATTGAAAAAAGCCATTGCCATCTGTATTTTGCTTCCCTTTTTATTGCATCTCTCAACCCTTTCCAAGCTATTGGAGTTTTTTTTTTTTTTTTGCACCATAGAGTTGCTAATTTTGCACTTTATTTGTTTAGGACATTTTGTGATATCTAACCTAATATTATCAAAGCTTAGCCATAGCTTTTGCCATTTGACCAACAGTGAATGGCTTCACTATTAGTATCCTTTGGATAGTTTTAAAATAACTTTTAGTAAATGTCATGGTTATATTTGGACTATTTGGTGTAGTTCTTCTGGTCTTCTGGATTTGTTTATTTATTTGTGTGTATCAGTCTGACCTATAGGTATATAACTTGTTTTCTCTACTTCACTTTGTTTCTGGTGTTTTGTTTTGTTTTTTTTCCCTATGCTTTCAAATGTTAATTTAATTGCAAAGACATTTGCATTTTGGGATGAAAAAAAGTGTAATTTGAAAATACTACATTATATACGATCCTCTAAAAGTCAGGTTAACTTTGCTCTCAGTCTGTTCTGTCAGGGCTCATATGAAATGAAGTCACTAGTGTAACTCTGTGGTTAGGTGTTCCTGTACACACAGCAGCTATAGAGTTAACACAGTGGAAGAAAAGCTTGTCCTGTTAGACAGGTGTCTGACAGGTGTTGTTTTCTCACTCATACTGTTGTCACAACTCATCCGTGACGTACGTTATGATAAAATACACTGCTGGTATTGTTTGAACTTCAGTGGACATTTTGGAATTGTAGCTCTCTTAAGTTAAGTTGTCATTCACTACACATTCACAGGTTATTAGTAGTCAGGGTAGAAATAATTAGCCATAATCGTTAAAACTAGTGTCATCTTGAAAATGCTGACATATCTCTTCTGTGACATTGACTAAGACTAAGACTTATTTTCCAAAAAAACCATACAATTACATGATTTGATTTTGCAACTACAGTTTCACCATGCTTCGGTGGTTTACAATGTACAAAAACCCCAAAAACAAACTGTGGAGTACGTGCTGCGGAGACTACAGAAATGCAGCTGCAATCCTCCAGCATGACAGGAACTCCACCTGGTTGAAGTTCATGGGCAGCAGTAAAAGATGACTTTGCTCCGGTTTCCTCCCTTCTGGTCATATAATGTAATCAGAGCCACTGTCAATAAAGGGCAAGTCCTTGTACTGAATCTCCACTTCCCAGAACAGCTGCAAAGCCTGGGTAATAATGTCCTCTGACATCTTCTGAGCAAAGTCCAGGATAGGTTTGGAGACCACAGGGTCAAGATTCAAGGGACCACTGTCTCCTACTGTCATCTCTTCTGCATCACACTGGGTGTCCTGGAGAAATACTTCAGTTTCTTGTGGTTCTTGTTTGCAGCCAACGTCATCCTTCTCCGTATGTGAACATGACCATGAACAGCATCTGGACTCATTAGATCCCATCTCACTAAAACTCTGAAGCACCGGTGGTTCTGTATGTTGGCAGGGAGGTCATAAATTCCATAACTGCAGAAATAAAAATCAAAAACAAAAACGTAGACATCAACAGTGTGTTGCTGACCTATTCAGAATGCCCTTTTTCCTGAACCTGAATAACTGCAGTAGGTGGCCCCCTGTTTAACAGTCAAATCTGGAAAGACAAGTTTCCAAAGCCTCAAGGTCATTTAGGTTTAAACATAAAACACACAGAGTCCATTCAGGAGTTTTTGCAGCCAAGTCTTTGGCCACTCTTGATGAAATAAACAGAACTGACCCGTTTAGCAGCTTCAAACGTAGCAATATCTTAAGAATAAATGCAGTCACACAAAATATCCTAAAAAAAAAAAAAAATGAACTTACTCTCCTTCTCTTCAGACAGGTTTACTTGAGCTTTCCACCACCTTCAGAGCTGGTGATAAACAGGCAGCTGAAGTCATGTCACTCCTGCTCCGGCTCCGGCTCCTGCTCCTGAATGGTGGGAGGAGCAGTCACACTGTGTAAACCCAAATACAGCCAAAGACCTCTGAAGGTTAATTATTTACTGTTGAACATATTCAGCTAGATCTGTGGTGAACAGATGCTTTTAAAGGCTCTGTTCATACTAATATAAAGTGTTTTTTTTTTTTTAAACTATGAAAATGTTTGTGAGTGTGAACATCTGAACGTGAACATCTGAACGTGACCAAGAACGGTTTCTGGGCTCATTAAATCCAATTTCAGCAAAACTCTGGAGTAAGAAGTCCTGAGGAATTCTTCACAAGCAGAAGAGAAACTGAACAACAACTGTCAACCACGGTCACTTCAGACCATAGAGACAGACTGTGACGATGTTGACCAAACAAATCCAACTTCTGCTGACAGGACAACTCTTTACTCAGCTTTTCTTGTTGGGAATAACCTGAAGAAAGGTGGAACAACTAAAACCAGAACCTTTGGTCGGATGAGACCAAAAACAACAAAAAACTCTTTGTACAAAGAGATGTTACTCTTTGTCTGGAAAAGTAAAACAGGACATAAAGGACATTGTCCCTTCAGTGAAGCTCAGGGGAAAGACACGGTAGTAGGTAAGAAACCTTACATTCTTTATTCAGCAACAAGATTTAGTCTGGACGTTAGGGAGTTCATTTTTATCATGGTGTTAAGGGGGGGTAGTTTAATTCTATCGGGACTAGAAAAAAATAATAAATACATATACTGTACTTAAGTATGTTTGGAAATAGTCTTGAAGATTATTGCTCTATGAAAATTGGGGGGCTTTTTGGGGTCTAAAATTAACCCCTTAAAACACGCATTTTATGACTGCGTGTAATCAAACTGGAAAACTCTGCATTTAGTCCCTCGCTACCTCTTTAAGTGTCTGACACAAATGAGTTGCTCCTTGCAGCCAATCGTGAGGTTCTGGAGTGCGGGCTCAGACTCATTTAAGCCACGGTCACTAGCACTAAGCTCTTCATCCACCCCAGGATGCTACTCTTGTTCCACCTTACTTTCTTCGTCCTTTTCTTTCCTCGTCTCTCCCAGGGGTATGAGCAGACCTCCGTGGGGACGAACCAGACCTCCATGGAAACAATCCAGACCTCAAGGCTGCTTACAGAAAATGGAGAGCAGTGCTCTACCTGCGATTTCCGGGAGCAAAGTAAACAGCTGAGGCTCCAACTCATCAAGTCCCAGATCCTCAGCATCCTGCGGCTGGAGCAGGCTCCCAACATCAGCCGGGACATGATTCGTCAGCTGCTGCCCAAGGCGCCTCCGTTGACGCAGCTCCTGGACCAGTACGACCCGCGCGTGGAGGACGAGGACCACGCCACGACTGAGACCATCATTACTATGGCCACCAAGCGTAAATACATTAAAAATTATTTTTTTCTGCTTTCACATTAAGCCTTAAGTATAGCGTAAAGAACAAAACCCGTGCGTAAAATCCGTGCGTAAAGTTCGTTTTCAGGCGTAATCAAAGAAAACGGGAGACGATGATATGATATGGTGTTTATATGTACCTAAGATAAAACTAAATGATCAGATAGATCAGAGGAGGTACTAAAGGGTATTTTGATCAATCTGGACAGTGTGGTCAGATCTACCAGGCAGTAAGAACTGCATTTCCATTGGTACACTTTGTTAAATTGCTCCACTTCAGTTGTCACTGTGGTCTGAATCTCTGTCATGATGACGGAGGACCAACGACGATTCTGAACATTTGGAGACATACCCTGACTAAGGAAGGGTCAGCCAGTGCATTTGGTTGATGCTCCTTTTATACCCGTTCTTGCTATATTTCCCTGTTAAAGGTATACTGTATGCTAATGGAGGAAACTCTTGAAATGTTTGATCATTTTTGTTTGTCTTTTGCTAACAATATTTCTTGGTCTAAGTAAACATGCATGTACATTCGGAATTTTGTTAATAATTGCATTATGCCAAAATATCCTTGTGCTGCCTCCTCAAAAACATGGGACACCTAGAGGCAACAGTTTATATGTGACATAGTAATGTAAAACAACATCTGTGTGATGTATGTCAATGTTCCTTTTAGCCAACCCCACTGCCCAGGAGGAGTTGTCCTCCTGCTGTCTCTTTAGCCTCAGCCCTAAGATCCAGCCCAGAAACATCCTGAGCGCTCAGCTGTGGGTTCATCTACGGCCCGCTGACATGGTCACCACCGTCTTCCTGCAGCTGTCCCAGCTCAAACCTGGGAGGGAGGGAAACAATACGAGGGTCAGGGTCCGTTCCCTGAAGATCGACATAAACGCTGGGGCCGGATCCTGGCAGAACATGGACATCAAGTCCCTGCTGCAGAACTGGCTCCGTCAGCCAGGGGGCAACTATGGTGTCGAGATCAACGCCTACAACTCCAGAGGAGAAGATTTGGCTGTGACGTCTGCAGAGCCCGGAGATGAAGGACTGGTGAGTCCTATTCTCTACATATATGGATGGTATGAAAACTTTTCAGCTTTTCACACAAAGAGTCATCTTTGCATTAAGTTTGTTCAAAGGTAACCGAGGTCCTCGGGGGTTAAGTTGAAGCCACTACAGAAGGTTTTGAGAAAGAGTCCATATCTGATCAAAACTCAAACATTCAGTCTAGTCCACACCGTTTAAATAACAATACAAGAGCCCAGTCTTTACTCAGGTCTATTTAATCATTTATCTTTTCCAGCAACCTTTCATTGAGGTGAAGATTCTCGACAGCCCCAAAAGAGCCCGCCGTGACTCGGGTCTCAACTGCAATGAAAAATCTGAGGAGACACGCTGCTGCCGCTACGCACTGACCGTTGATTTTGAGGAGTTTGGCTGGGACTGGATTATCGCACCCAAACGGTACCGGGCCAACTACTGCTCTGGAGAATGTGAGTTCATGCACCGGCAGCAGTACCCACACGCCCACCTGGTAAACAAAGCCAACCCACGAGGCACCGTGGGGCCCTGCTGCACGCCTACCAAGATGTCACCCATCAACATGATCTACGTCAACAGCATGGAGAACGTCATTTATGGAAAAATCCCATCCATGGTAGTGGACCACTGTGGCTGCTCATGAGAAAATCCTCATTGGATTTAACTCAACATTTTTACCTGAAACTTGTTTTTAACATTTGGTGTCTGTCACTGAATAGATCTTTAGACCCGTTTGTTACCATCAAAACTTCATCAGAAAGAGGCCAGAAACTACACGGTTTGCTAGGACGCTTGTCATGTTCTTCTCCTACAGTAGCCCAGAAAGGACTAACTTAATTACAACTAATGTGGAGTGAAATGTAATGAAAAAATATGCTAAAACTTTCTTGATAAAAGTCCCTAAAGAAAGCTAAAATGCATAAACAGTTACTTTAAGATTGATAAAATAAAATTTTAATTAAAAGCTGAAAGTTAACTAAGAGTTTGGCAAATACATAAGAGAGATTTAAATTTAAGAGAATTTAAAAGAGCCATAAGATAATGAGCCCAAATAATTACATTCACGGCCAAAAATGTATTCATTAATGCAAGTGTGAACATTGATCCTTTGTAAATTAAGCCAACCTGAGTTTCCTAAAATAAGCCATAAGAGAAATTAATGGTAGCTTAGATAGATTGAAGAGTTCTGTTAGGCAACTATTTTAGAAAACTTAGCAAGAAAATAGCATGAGCAGCTAAACAGAGCTAAAAAAAAAAGACTAGTATAGAGTTCATCAAAGAGTTTACAAGGAACTAAATGTTATTAAATTGATTTTTTTTAAAACCCACAGAAGACTAGCAAATAAATATCCTACCTCATAGCAAATGGTTTTCAGTTGTACGTTTTTCAGTTAAATTATTAAAAGTTAACTAAATATAAATACACAGTAATTGTGGAAGCAAGAAAAAGTCTATAGCTAAAGTTTATACCAGAAGAAAAAGGACAAAATTAGGGCAAAAGGGGGGCAAAAAGGTCAAAGGTTTTAAAAGAAGTGAATAAAATAAACAGGCAAAATAGTTAAATTTGCCAATATAACTAAACAACAGGATTGTCAAGTTTATATTGAGATTTTTCAACACATGTAACAAAGTTGTTACTCATACTGAAACAAACAAACAAAAAAGTAATTTTCTGCATTTCTTTTCCTGTATTATTTTTCACTTTATACTGTCCAAAAACCCCTCCTGCTTCCTGTCCTTCTCTCTTATATAAAAAAAAGGTTGGCTGATATGAGTCTTGACCAACACAAACACTGCGGGGTATCTTCCATGTGAATCCTTATTTAGGAAAACATGAACTGAGTGACTTCAGAGTGACTGAGGCGACTTGTCCGCTCCTCAGTGACCAGCTCGAAAGATTGTCACAGAGCCACAGATAATATGTTTAAAATATGTTGTTGTTGCAGGTGTGATGGCCACTGCTGGGATATAAAAGGTGCCAAATAGCAGTGTCGAGTGCAGACTCCGCCGCTTATCTACAAACAGATGAAGTGGAAAGTTATCAACCTTCCAATGATTGGGAGTGGATAAAGAAAACCTCAAATTAGTTGGTTTTCTTTGTTTTGAATGCACTACGACTGCAAACAATTATTTTTATGTGAATTTTGTTTAGTGGATTGTTGAAATGCTAAGCTAGTTAAAAGGAGCACTGCAACTGCTAATAGCCTGAAAACTAGCTAAAATGCTTAATGTCAGGAAAATACTACCAAAGGTAACATAACAAAGAGAGGGCATACATGAACAAAAGTTAGCTTTAAAATAGCTAGCTAGCTAAATATACAAGGTATCTTAAAAACAGTTAGCCAATATATATATTAACAGAAAGATAAGATAAAGCATGAAATAGTTAAATTAGCCCTGCAATACTTTAAGTTAAACCTACAATGTAGCTAAAGGCCTACTTAACTCAAGCTAAGCCAAAATGTTGAATTTCCCATATTATGATCAACAACATACATATATCTATTTAGATAAGATAGTTATAAACTCTAATTAAAGCTTAGCCTGATCTTAAACAAAACATGTCACTCAGCCAAGAAAACATTCTTGGAAACAAACTTTAAAAAAAGTTTTCTAGAAACAACAAGAACAATAAGCTAAAAAGCGTTGGATCAATGCCAAACACAAAGAGGTTGTTTCTGACATGACAACATCAGAGACTGGTTTGAGAATTGTTCCAACAGTCAGAGGGGATAGAAGGCATCAACCCACGTCACAGTGTGAGCAGAGATTTTGATCTCAGGGGGAGGTTTCATCTCAATTTGATGCTGAGTGCAGATGTCCCCAGTGTTGTTGTTGTTGTGCCTCACAGAGGGGTTGTTCTGCTGTTGGAACAGAGAGTCCACCAGTGTCACATATTCAATTTTGTCGTTGTGCAGCCAACCTAAGTTTTAGAATTATTGTCATGCTGTTGCAGCAGTTTAAAAAAAACATAGGAAGTGAATGGTGAAAGGATGAATGCAGGTTAATGTCTTACTGCTGGTGCTTTCTGTTTTTCTAGACTGGAACCAATAGGATGTTTACCAGTTCAGAGTCTGTGAAACATGATGTTGTCATGCTGTGAAAAAAAAATAAAGATGAGAATAGGTTAAAAGAAAATTTCAGAGTCCTTACAACTATAGTGTAAAAACTGCACTTTCGCCTGGCATACAGAACAGATGTGAAACCCCTCCCCATCCAGTTACATAAATAAAGATAATTAACCAATTAAAAATCCTTTGCAATTTTACATAATTCTAATCTAATGATTCTAATCATTCTAATCTTACACGTTCTGAATTACTTGCTGCTGTATTTGTTACTCCATACTCTGTTTCTTAACACTTATATTAAAAGACATTTTTACATTGCTTTGATGTTTTATTTTTCCACTTTGTTGAACTAATTATTCATGGACTTTTCAAATAAACTCATCGTGTACTTACTTAACAAAGACAAATGTGAGGGCTAGCAGATAGCGTTAGCTCTCACATGCTCAGATATATCACACATTTGCTGTTCATTACACATTAGTATAATACTACAGGAAAAGCAACTTTAAGCAAGTGAAAATCTCTAGATGCAGAGAAAAAATAAAACAGGTAGATCTTGATTTCTACCACTAGGTTACGCCAAAGTTTACTGTATGCAACTTGCAAGAAAGACTAAGTTTCATATTCTCTAAACGTGTAAATGGTTTCGTCTGGTGTTTTCTGTATAAACTGCATGGGAATCATAACAAATCGGTTTTTTGTTTAGCATACTTGTGAATTGCATACTATTTTTTTTAATTTAATAGAGATGGGGATAAATAACAATAGTTTAGCAGTAATACTGTATAATATAGTTCATATATCTGTGAAATGTATGACCCGTTTAGTCGTAGTTCTGTAAAATATAAACAACTACAAAAAACAATAATACAACACAAAGTGACATAAAAGTTCAATTTTCAAGGTATAAGTGACAAAAGTTAAATTGTATTATCATTAGGTTGTAATTTCTGTAGTGTATATATTAGTCATTTTCTCCCCTTTTCACCTGAATACTAATTAACGTGAAATATTAATTGTAAACAATTTCCAAAAAAATGTTAGTAAACAGAATTGGAATATAACTGTAATCTAAAATGTTTTGAAATATAGGTTAAGCTATGGAAATATTTAAAGGACTTTTGAAAAATGTTATAGTTTATACAGCAAATAAAAAAGTAGGCCTAAGATGGTCTATGTTGACGCTAAAATATTTATTTTTCTTCGTTTTGTTTGATAAGCATATGCATTACATAATTGCAATAATAAGAATTTTGTGTTTCATTTATGCTACTAGTTATTATCTTATTCAGTACACACTAACACAAATTTAAAGTTTGAGTTAGGTTTCGGTTTCAGAGTTGTTGCGTTACAGCTCACTTTCTCTTTCTCTGAAAACACGTGGTCTATTTAAGCTGTTTTGGGTATTTGGTTCTCCTCCCTAGCAAATCTCTACTAGTTTCCCTTTTTAAAAAATAAAAATCATGCAACATGAAACAAGAAACACCTTAAATTTAAAAGTTTCACTTTATGATTTTGTATGATCCTTTGTAATTCTAATGAAAATGCACATAAGATCCCTTTGTTATTTCATTTTTATCCTTTTTTCTGGGGAGTTTTGATAACTGACGGATCAGCCGCTTTTTCTTCGTTATGATTGGCTGACATGTGCAAAGAGGCGGGCTCTGTATGTGTTCTGCACAACGATAGGATGAGGGCGTTTCCGCAGTACTGGAAGACGTGAGTTGACGTTCAGCGCTGTAAAAGGAGTTACAGCACAGAAACAGTCCTTCAGTTTGAGGTTTTGGACATTTACTCAAAATATAAAGGTAAGTGTCAAACATATTTTCCGCCGTAGTTACTTGAATTTTCAGTTTATGTCTGAAAAATCCAAACTCTGCTAGTCCAAATCCTACCATTTCCTTACTTCAACATAATCCACCAAATGCAAGTTTTAGCCAAATACTATTCTCCTGCTTCGGATTTCTTTACGCCAAGAATCAACTTAATATTTCTAAAATAGTTCATGCTTTGTGCCACTGCCCATTATTAACAACCAAACTGTCCTACATGAGATTTACAAGAATATGAAACGCCAGGTCAAACATAGAGGCCGGATATACTGACAATACTTATGCATTCAAATGACAAACAGATTTGACCTATATTCCATGGCCACGTGTGGCAAGAGAATAGATATGGTTAAAATATTATTTTTCTGAAGTAGGTTTTGTTATGGAGTGGAATGCAGACCCTGGGGGATGTCTAAAAGTGTACATATTATGCCAAGATGTAAACAAAATGAGGATTTTTACCTCCATGAGATAACTCAAAGTTCTTAGTAAATAAGTACATCAGACTCATTCACATGATGGTTGTGCCAGGAGACATTTTTGAAAAATAAAAATATTATTAACAAATGTTCCACTTACTGAACAGAAAATGGCTCAGTGGTGCCAGCTTCAGATGTTGGAAGGTAAATACCTGGAGCAGGTGGACCAACTGTACGACGACTCCTTCCCCATGGACATCAGACAGTACCTGAGCAGATGGATTGAAAGCATTGACTGGTAAGTGGAGAAATCTTGCATTAAAAATGCTTTTATTTTTATATATTATGTACACATTATTGAGTGTATTAATTGTTTTTTCTGACATGGTATAGATTATAATTGTCTTTTAAGAAAGCATGTCAGTTTCGATGGAAGCTATGAGAAGCTGATTAGTCCATTTACTTCATATCTGTTTGTACACATTATTTAAACTGCATGTTTCTAATGTAATAGAAAAATGAGAAGAGCATCAGGTTATTATTTTTTGCATAACAACACCTGGTACCAAATAAATACCTTGGTCTAAACCAGATAGAAAAGTATAGAAAGATTGTGATTCTCTACGTGGCGTGAAGCTGCTGCTCTGTCATTTGTACTTTTGATTATAAGATAAGAGAAGGACCTGCAACAACTGATTATGTGGTTTTCTACCTCACTCTCACACTTCCTGTTAAATATTCCCTACATTCACAGGGACACAGTAGCAATTCAGGATTCTCTGGCCACCGTTCGCTTCCATGACCTCCTGGCTCAGCTGGATGACCAACACAGTCGCTTCGCTCTAGAGAACAACTTCCTGCTGCAGCACAACATCCGCAAGATCAAGAGAAACCTACAGGTTAGAGAAGAGTATAAATTAGGGCCCACGTTCAACAGACATTGTTGTCTGTGGTTAAATAATTACTGAAGACACTGAAACAGTGTGTTGTTTCTGCAGGATCGGTTCCAGGAAGATCCAGTCCACATGGCCATGATTATCTCCAAAAACTTAGGGGAGGAGCGAAAGATCCTAGCAACTGCGAAGAGTGCAGAGGTAAAAGTGTAATCAATGTTCATTTTTAACAGCCAATTTTAGGTTTACTCTTAATCTTGTGGTTGAATTGTAATTTAATCCTAATCCCAATTTAGTTGATAATACTCTTTTATTTATTTATTTTTTTTAGTCCGCTAGAATGCAATCTATTATTATATTTCCATTTACCAATCTCTGATTATGAACTATAATTCCACTTTGATGACATTCTATTAAGAAATACCAATATGCATTACAGATAAATGTAACACAAAACCATGTTATTGAACATAGTTGCATGTATTAATATAATATATTATCTATTTATTTATTTTTTATTATTCTTAAACATTGAACGCGTGACATTGTTTTGATATTTCTCAGAATTATTAGATTAGTTAAACCAGATTAACACTAAACTTAACCCACTGTCACTCTGTGTCACATGTGGACCAGTTTTTTTCTTGCTTCTGGCTTCATACATTGTCTACCTGACACGTGATTGGATCTCTGTGTGCAAGCCTTGTAGTTCTGACAGCCATTCATCACAATTGATTTTCTTTCAAAATCAAAATCAGCTTGTTTCCTCTCATATTTTTTTCTTTTCTTTTTCATATTTTATTTATTGACTAGTGCACCAGTCTTTTTTTTTTTAAGTCACTTAAAAACTTTTCTAATTAGGGACAAGGAGACAGGATTAAAAAGTGAAATAAAATAGTTTTATTATTATTAATAATATTTTATGCAGGAAGAGGGTGAAGTGTTGGTGTCACCCATGGTGGTGGAGAAACAGAAGCTGGACAACAAGATGAAGGAGATAAAAGACAGAGTCCAGGTATGTCCTCATTTTTAATGTTGATGATTTTTTAAGGTTAATATATAATTTGATATTTCTAAAAATATAAAAAGTACCACAAAGAATAAAAGTACATTTATGTATATAAAGAAGTATCTTTCTTCTGCAGTGCGTGGACCAGAACATAAAGAACGTGGAAGATCTGCAGGACGAGTATGACTTTAAGGTCAACACGCTGAAGAATAGAGGTGAAGACTTCTGCAGCTGATTCTAACTTTTAACTGCCAGAGAATTCAAAAGTCGTAATTTTTAAGGTATATAAAATGTTTTAAAAGTATTTCTGATTTTTGTAGAGAATGAAATGAATAGCATGGCACAAAAGGAGCTGGAGAAAGAAAAGTTACTGATCGGGAGAATGTGCCTGGAACTAAAGGCTAAACGAGAGGTGAGCTGTGTGTGTGTGTGTGTGTGTGTGTACATTTTCTAGCTATCCTGATTTTTTTTTTTTTTTTGGTCTTTCTTGTATAACATTCACATTTTGCTTATTTTATACTTGGTTATGTATAAACTGTTTTTTGGCTAACCATATGCGAATTTTGTGTATGCTAATATGTGACATAGTAATTATTTCTTTCCTATTGTTTTTTTCCCTTAACTAAAGACAAATTATAAACAAAAAATAAAAAAAATATATATTTGTTTTTGCACAGATTAAATAAACATGTTCAAATACATTTAGGCTGTAATCCCTTTTTTAACCCTGTTTGCTAAATAAATCAAAGGGCTGAACTAAACATTGTAGCTTTGTGTTGAAGATTGGTTTGACAGTTTTAGTGCTCTACTCCAGGATGTGGTGACCCAGCTGATGGACCTCCTGAACCACATTCAGGCCTTACTCTCTGACTTAATCTCAGAGGAACTGCCAGAGTGGAAACAGCGGCAGCAGATCGCCTGCATTGGTGGCCCACCCAATGCCTGTGTGGACCAGCTGCAGAACTGGTAAAGTCACATCTCTTGAATCTCACATGATACCAATTAAAATTTGTATTTACCTCAGTAAACTCTATAAATGGAGGAAACATTGTTCTCTCTCTACTACAGGTTCACGGCAGTAGCAGAAAGTCTGCAGCAGGTACGTCAACACCTCAAGAAGCTGCAGGAGTTGGAACAAAAGCTAACCTATGAGAACGACCCCATCACACTGAGAAAGGCATTCCTCGAGGCCAGAGCTCTGGAACTGCTCAAGAGCCTTCTTATCAAGTGAGTCAAGGATTGTTGCAATAATGGAGGTTATTTTTGGAAATAAAACCTTGGAAGTCTTTGAATTTAACTGAACTTTGTGTGTTTGTAGCTCACTGGTTGTAGAGAGGCAGCCCTGCATGCCTACACACCCACAGAGACCTCTGGTCCTGAAAACAGGCGTCCAATTCACAGTCAAATTGCGGTAAGACACAGAAAGAAATTGTGTTGTTTTTTGATTGTGTTGTTTTTTGTTTGTTTGTTTGTTTGTTTGTTTGTTTGGTTGTTTGTTCTTCATTATATTACACAGCAGTGAGTGGTTTTAAGCTGTCAAGCTTTGGTTCCTTTCTGTTTCAGGTTCCTGGTGAAGTTGCAGGAGTTCAACTACCAACTCAAAGTGAAGGCCCTGTTTGATAAGTACGTCACCCGTGACATTATTGTTACCTTTCCCTGTATTTCTTCATGAATTATATTACAATTTGTTCCTGTTTCTCTTCCTTTTTTAGGGATGTTACAGAAAAGAAAGGGTATGTGTTAACTTTTCAAATGAACTTTTGTCTGAGAAAAATGTAATTATTAAAACAGTTGTTATTGTTAAGTATGTAAGTGTTAATTACCTAATTGCCATTGAATCCTGACCAATGACCAATCCCCTTGTTACCAATCAGGTTCCGGAAATTCAATATTTTGGGAACAAACACCAAAGTCATGAACATGGAAGAATCCAATGGCAGTTTGGCAGCAGAATTTCGACATTTGGTACGAAAGAATACAAATTTTAAGTAAAATCTGATGGATTTGCTGCCACCTCAAATATGTGCAGTATATCCAGCAACTTCAAGTGGAGAATATGTGTGTAACTTTACTTTTTTCTACACAGCAACTGAAAGAGCAAAAGGTGGCTGGAAACAGAAATGAGGTAAATTGAAATATAGTAAAGTTTTCCAAAGACACATTTTAGTTAAAACATGTAGAAATAATTAAAAGAATTGATTAAACAACATATAATTCAAAGAAAAAAGCAAAAATTGAGCAAAAACATTAATAAAATTGTAGTATAAAATAGGCAAAAGTTAAAGATGGCAAAAACGTTGCATTGATAGTAGGTAAATCTGACCAAGAGCGGACATTCAATTATACAAAACATTAACAAAGGTTAGGTAGCAGTAGCTAACAGTTAGATAGGAATGGTATGGAGGAAGGGATTGGTAAACAAGTATGTGAGCTTGGTGCAGGACATATATGAGGACCACAAAACTGTGTTGAGGTATACGGTCGGAGTGACAGATGGGTTCAGTGTAGAGGAGTAGGTGCTTAAACTTTGCTCAGAGCCATTCTTGTTTGCAGTGGTGATGGACAGTTTGACAGATGAGCCTGTAGATGGTGTGAGCTGGTCCTGGTTGTAGGGATGCCATTTTCAGGATGTTTGTCTTTGTTAGGGTCCTCTGATTGTCACAGAGGAGCTTCACTCGCTCAGCTTTGAGTCGGAGCTCCAGCTCAGCCAATCAGGACTCAACATTAAACTGGAGGTAAGAGCAAACCAGCGACTTTGGACCTTTCTCACATCATTTCCTGCCCAAAACATACATGACAACAAAAACGTAATTTTCTCTGTCGGTTGGTGGTTTTGGTTATAGGCCATGTCTCTGCCTGTTGTCGTCATCTCCAATGTCTGTCAGCTGCCCAGCGGTTGGGCATCCATCCTCTGGTACAACATGTTGACCACTGAGCCCAAGGTGAGGACACACCTGCGTAGAGCATAAAGATATACTGTATATACTCAGAAAAACATACCATATTAACATTAAACGGCACAGTTTTTTTATCACACAGGGACAAAAAAGGTAGATCATTCTCTTCTGATCTCTGTGAACCAAGGATTCAAGTCAGAATTTAAAAGTTATCGATTTACTTAAATTGTTTTAAGAAGGTTGTCCCTAATCAAAGGTTCTTTCTTTCTAAATCCTGACTTTATACCCAGAACTTAGCAGTTTCCCAGATATATTTCTAAAATTTGCCTTTTTGGAGTGCTTTGTTTTACTAGATCAAAAGTCCAAAAAATCAACTTAGTGTTTCTTTCTTCTCCTCTTTCTTGTCAGAACCTGAAGTTCTTCATGTCTCCTCCTTCTGCCAAGTGGTCTCAGCTGTCTGAAGTTCTTAGCTGGCAGTTCTCTTCTGTCACTAAACGGGGCCTAAACCAGGAGCAGCTAAACATGCTGGCGGACAAACTACTAGGTCGACCTGACACATCGTAGTTCTGTTTATCTATTCTACAAATGAACAATGTTTAATTTGGGGATCGTTTGTGGTGTGTTTCTCTTGGCAGGGGCTAAAGCCAAGGGGAACCCAGAGGGGCAGATTCCCTGGACTAAGTTCTGCAAGGTTAGAGGAAACTTAGGACAGGAAATTAAGTCTTGCTTTTATTCCTTTGAATGTGAACATATTTACTCACCACCAACAGCAGAGTGCTAACGAGAAAGCTTTCCCGTTCTGGTTGTGGATTGAAGGAATCTTGGACTTGATTAAAAGACACCTGCTCTCACTCTGGAATGATGGGTAACATTATATTATTGAGATCATTTTAAGACACTTCAGTCAGTGAGAATTGTATAATTTTTCCCTTCTGTGTGTCTCCAGCTTCATCATGGGTTTCATCAGTAAGGAGAGGGAAAAAGCTCTGCTGAGCGACAAGTGCCCCGGAACTTTCCTGCTTAGGTTTAGCGAGAGCAGCCGAGAAGGAGCCATCACCTTCACTTGGGTGGAGCTCGATGTCCACGGTGAGATCCAAAAAGCCTTGTGAGAGCTTGAATAATAATGTTGATTCTCCTCAAATAGCTTTTTAAGAAGCACATATTTCTCTTCTTTATTCCTACATTAGTATAATTATTAGTAGAATGTTGTGGTCACACAATGGCACATTTTGTTAGAATGCTAGCCTTTACAGTAAGAAGATTACTGGTTCCCTGGTTTGATCCCCAGTATGGAGTTTGCTTGTTCTGCCCATGTGTGCATGGGTTTTCTCTGGGTAATTCACGTTCTTCTCACAGGCCAAAATCTATCTCATAAGGGAAGTATTTGGTCAGTCATTCTAAATTGACCATAGGTAAAAATGTGACTGTGAATAGTTGTTGTATCTAATAGTGACCTGGGAAGGAATGGTGAGCTGTCAAGGGGTTTGTATGTAAGTTAGAGGTAGTTTTAGTAGATAATGGTTAAAATGTGAAAAAGTAGAGTTTAGATGCTGAGAAATAGCTTTGTGTTAAACAGTATTTTTAAATAACAGTTATGGAATCATCCCCAAGTCTCTCTTTTTTAGAATTTTATTATCAATTATTCATTTGCCTTTTCATTATTTTATGAAATTGTTCTACCGTTAATTACTTAAGTTCTTCACCCTCTCAAAAATTCTACATTGGAATTTTTTTTCTTGAGCAAGTCCGGCCCTTGAAAAAATGCTGGATGCTCATTGCTTTACAAACTAAGATAAAATACTTCAACCAAAATGTGCAACTCCACACATATTTAATATTTGTCCTTTTCTTCGTCCAGATAAGTCAGTGTTCCACTCAGTGGAGCCTTACACAAAGAAAGAGCTGGGTGCAGTTTCTCTGCCTGACATCATTCGCACCTACAAAGTGATGGCCACTGATAACATTCCTGAAAACCCGCTCCGCTTCCTGTACCCTGACATCCCCAAAGACAAGGCCTTTTTGAAGTACTACCCCAAACCTGCAGAGTGTAAGCAACACAAACTTCCCATGTTACGGAACACATCCTGGGAGTAAAACAATTGTATGTTTATAATGAAAATAAATCTGAGTTCTTAAAATATTTTCAGCTCCAGAACCTATGGATGTGGAGAGCACAGAAAAAAGAGGCTACATGAAAACGGAGCTCATATCTGTGTCAGAAGTGTAAGCAGGGAAATGCGTCAGTCACGTCATTACATTCTACCTTTAACACATCCAACACCTGTGACTGTGTCCTGCTTCTCTTGGCCCAGACATCCATCCAAGATGCATGACAACATGATGCCCATGTCTCCTGACGACTACAGGGTTTTGGAGCAGTTCGTGGGACCCAGGGACATTGATGCTGTAGTGAGTATGATGCCTCACTCCACTTTTTCTAATATCATTGCTGCAGTTATCCATGGGTCAGCCACAGAACCAGCATCTCCTATGTATTATTATTATTATTTAAATTAGTCTTATTATTATTATTATTATTATTATTATTATTATTATTATTATTATTATTATTCACTAAAACACGAAACGTCAGTGACTGATTTGTGTTCTGGTACCTAAGTGTCTTTAGCAAAAAACTCTTCTGCAAAAACTTGCAAAAAAGTGCAGAACAACACATGCAACATGATTTTCAAAAAAATTAGACTAACTGGAGGCCAAGTACAATAACAAAAAACAGTTAATTTAAGGAAAAGTACATCTAAGGCATCATTGGATTTTCTCAGTTTAGCTCTTTCGAGTAACCTGTTGCCTCTGACTGTAAAACAAGAATGTTTCTCTGTTCTGTCAAATTGTAAATCTTGCTTTCCATCTTTTGTGTGTTTTTTTTCTGTGGCATGCTCTGCTTATAGGCCACGAATCTAATGGTGTTTG